AAAGAGAAAATAAAATGGAAAAATATACGAGTCATCGGCAAATGAGCAATGCACAACATGCTTAGTGAAAGTTTCTATCTATCTATCTATCTATCTATCTATATATATATATATATATATGGAATCAAATGTAGATATTGAACATATGGATTCTGATTCATTGTGCAGATTTAGATTTGCTTCGTGTCCATATATAGACATGGAAGTGGCCACTTGTTGGTGCCCAAAAGCGTCGATTGCCATATATAATAATAAGAAGATTTCTTTCTTATAGGTATATAGATATTTGGTCCGATCTGTTCTATATTTCGATTTATTTGATAGAATCAAAACGGGTTAATCCGTAAAAAACGGAAGATTTTAGAAAAGAAACTTTGAATAGAAAATCTGTAGAGTATTGAATGTATATTCTTGACCGATATAAAAAATCAAATCGTTACAAAATCTGTAGAAATCCATCATGTTTATTTGACATACAAAACATAGAATAGAAAAAAAAAAATAGTATTCACATTTGTACTCATATCTCTCTGAATTCACTTGGTATTCGGGAAAGTTTTTCCCGAATACCAGTGATTGTTATATCTTGAAAATTTATCACGCTTCAATAACAACCTCGAAATTTTAGAAATAACACGACAACCGAAAGTAATTACAGAAATTCTATCTCACAATTCTCCAAAAAAAAAATCTTTTATTGTAGATATTTGTTCGAGATCATTCGACTTGGCGGAGCTATGCCAACAACACCCGTGTAGCTCAAAACATACTTCTAGTTCTATATGAATATAACATAAATAAGTGTGTGTGAATTCAGCGATGTTTTCTGCCTGTTAGGGTTTCAGATCGGATGATCGATGAATTATATAGTAAGATTTATAAAGCTCCGATATATAGGAATCGGAATTCAAACCACGGGATCATATAGAGATCTCAAAATCATCAAACAAATTAAACCAAAATATCGAACGAACGAACACAGACCACGATAAGTGACCATAAAAAAAAAAGGTTGCCCTAGAGAGAACAGTAACACATTTTGAGATGAGTGGTGTAAGAATTGGAATCTTAGTACAACACGAGTTGACCGCATAGCAATGATATCTGGCTCTGTGTAATGATCAATGATTGTTCCTATACTTAATAGTGTGTTCTCGCGAAGAGGGATGGTGCCATATCGGGGCCTTAAAACAGGAGATGCAAGAAGTTTTTTTTTTTAAAACTCAATTCCCCATCATCGATCATGCAGCATTTGACCGAGTTTTCATGGTTTGGTAACTTTATATATATATATTATAATGTCTAGATTTGGAAAATAAAATTTGCAATGGAAAATGATTGATTACCATTACCCTTCGATATCGTTAATATATGATATTTATATTTTTCAAAGGAGTAATTTGAATTCATAATCTATAATTCTCATATGTGTATCGTTAAGTTACACCAATTACCACCTTGTAATTTTGTCAACTTTATATATATATATATATATATATATATATATATATAAGTTTATTTGAGTAACCGGGTTGTCGAGAGCCAACCGGATGATTTGAAATATACGCTATTTTTCAAAATTCGCGAAGAGGGATGGTGCCATATCGGGGCCTTAAAACAGGAGATGCAAGAAGTTTTTTTTTTTAAAACTCAATTCCCCATCATCGATCATGCAGCATTTGACCGAGTTTTCATGGTTTGGTAACTTTATATATATATATTATAATGTCTAGATTTGGAAAATAAAATTTGCAATGGAAAATGATTGATTACCATTACCCTTCGATATCGTTAATATATGATATTTATATTTTTCAAAGGAGTAATTTGAATTCATAATCTATAATTCTCATATGTGTATCGTTAAGTTACACCAATTACCACCTTGTAATTTTGTCAACTTTATATATATATATATATATATATATATATATATATAAGTTTATTTGAGTAACCGGGTTGTCGAGAGCCAACCGGATGATTTGAAATATACGCTATTTTTCCAAATTTTATATTCGAATTCGAGACGAAAACAGACGTTTTACGTTCTTATTTCACTGGCTGAACTACTCAAGTTTGAGTATATATACAAGTTAATGGATTTTTAAAAATATATGGCCTCTTTTGTTATATAATTTTCGACCGGGCTTCGATATTTATAATTATGACCATTGAATGTGTGACTATTAATAAAAGCATCTTGAAGGAGCTCGACGCCACTTTCAATTGCAACTTTGATTCTTTTATACAAAGACCGTAAATGCATAAGCATGAAAGGGAAAAAGATTCTCCAAAGTTTGTGGGGCAGCCAAAACAATATATATTTTTTTTAATCGTAATTTCTCATTATGATACGCAATGTAATGTGTTATATAAGTGTGTGTATAATACAGGGACGTTATAGGGGTGGGGTTCACAAACCCCCTCTAATTAAATAAAAAAATATTAATTTTTATATACATTTTATAAAATTATATATGAAATGTTCTCATAAAAAAAAATTGGCTGTATAAAATGATATGCATAAAATCATTATCCCCTCTAATATTTTTTTCTAGATCCGTCAATGTGTATATATGCGTATATATGCGTATGCATAATATGACGTATGTCGTGGTGAATGTATAATTCTCAAAATATATCAATAATAAATTAAAAAAATTATTTTAAAAATTAGAAATCAATTATATTTATTATATTAATCCTAAATTTACAGATTCATTAAAAAATATTATTATTATCATTAATAATAAAAAAGTTACAAAAATTTATTTATTATCATTAAATCATTTTTATTATATAAATTAATTTTTTTTAAATCATTAAATAATTTTATTATCAATATTTTTATTGTATAAATTTATAAAGTTTGCTGTTATTAAATAATTTTAATAGTAATAGTTCTTATTATATAAGACGATTCTGGGTGTTGGGTGTATATATATATATTACAATGAATTTTTTTTTTTTGGCTTTTGTTTCTTTTGATTCCTATTCACATTTCAAGCAATGTTACATTCCTTAACAAGCTTTTATTCCCCCAATAGAAGAGTGTGTTAATGATTGGAGCATCATTGAAGTTTTTGGAGTAACTTTATAATTAATATATATATATAATAACATGGGCCGTACAAATATAATAATATCCAATCTCATGATACTATAGCTATAGTTTATTTGGTTTATATAAGCAGCTCGAATCTTTTTTGAAACTTTATCAAATCTTTGTGAGATGTGATAACTTTAATAGAAAATTCCAAAAGAAAAACACTGAACTTTTAAATTTTAACAAAAAAATACTAAACATTATCGTACTAGTTGGGATTAATCTCGTTTTAGTAGTAAATGGAACCGGTTCTTCGTTAATAAATTTGATCAAAATCGGTCCATATATATACATATATATATAGCTAAGTTAAAAGGAAAAAAATTAGGATAAAACCCATAAAAAAATTTAAACTTGTAAAATGGTGTAAATTAAATTATTAAACTTTTTACTAGACAAATTTATTCCTAAATTTGTAAAATATGTTATTATAATTATCAAAATGATAAAATATATCATTATAATTTCTTAATTTATTTGGTATTAGAAAAAAGCTTGACGATGTCGATTTATACATAAGTTTAGGAACTGTAGTGACACATTTTACAAGTTTGAAAATTATGACACTTTTGTATGTGTGAGAATAAATTTGTTAGACGAAAAGTTTAAGAATTTATTTTCCACTATTTTACAAATTTAGGAATTTTCATGAGTTTTTCCAAAAGAACAAAACAAGGGAAACAGTAGAAAGGTTTATGTATAAGAACAGAAGTTGACCATCTACATGTGAAACCTCACAAGGTAGTGCCAATCGAATTTAATAGGTTTTGTAGGAGTAGATACTTGTCCTTTTTAAACCCCGAATGTCTCTCTTCTCTCTCTCTCTCTCTCTCTCTCTCTCTCTTAATTGGCTTCATCTTCTTCCTTTCTTGGTCCATATACAATCCAATGTCTCGTGGATTAGGTTATTGCCATATTTGAAACTCAAAAACCGTGTATTTTTACAGCTTGATGAATAACGTTTGATCCTCAATAGATTTGTCAACCAAATATTATACACATATATACATACATATATATATATGTATAGTAGATATAGAGTAAACCTAATCCCACTAGAAAATTATGAAGAGTTAGAGTTATCTATAATGGAATTATATTTCTAATGAGATTTGACAAAATATGTTGAATTCATCTTTATATATATGTATATGTATATATTCCATCACACAACTAAGCCAGAAAGTCGGTTCGCTTAAGGATTGACCGCGGCTACAATGTCTACATATATTTATCCAAAGTTATATCGGATCTTTATAGGGACAACAATATTTAAGATCATAATATATATGAACATGTTTGATTTAGAATCCAATGTAAAAAAAAAATACCCATTAAAAGTATAGTCTAAGAAGATATTATTCCTAGAATATTATCATCAATATTGTTATGATTTACCCCACATATTATATCTAGAATATCTATTGTAATCATCAATACTAGAAAAATATTCCCCTATTAGCCATAACCAATGATTTCGGTTACACAGTAATTTATTCTGACTAATTGCAATTGTTATAACGTTAATGTCAATTTTTTTTTCTTTCCGAATTTATCCGACCGTATAATCGTAATCTCAAGCCTTGTCGAGCTGTCCAGTTGGAGGCATTGATATGATGCCGCAATTGGAAAGATTTTTTTTAAGCCGTGGATTATATACGCGACCGGACTAGTCAACGTGTCGAAATATTATAAATAAACTTATTATATAAGTGGATGCTTTAAAGAAAACAAAGGAAAAGGAATTTATAGGTATAGAGATAAAATTGTTGGTTAGTAGTAGTTATTAATATTGCAAAATTGGAGTAGAAATTACAGAAGATGCCACGGACCAACCCAATATATATATACGGACACATCTCTTCCCTAATTTTCGTAATACGCCCACAAACACTCCATCACCATCCTTCTCTTCTCATAAGCTCAAGTGTTTGGTTTTTTTGACAAATTGTTTGTTTCATACCTCATACCGCCCTCTCTCTCCCTCCCTCTCTCTCCCTCCCTCTCTCTCTCTCTCTCTCCCCCTCTCTCTCTCTCTCTCTCTCTTTCTCTCTCTCTCTCTCTCAATTCTAAAATCTAAAATTTCATATCCAAGAGAGGAAAAGGAGATATAGAGAAATCTATTGGGGGTTATTTAAAAAAAAAACAGTTTTACAAAATCCATTCATAGATTCCCCAAGATTCGAGGGAATTGATCTCAAGAGGATATATCTTCTCTCGATTCTTGATTTCGAGCTCCGATTTCTTCTTCTTCTTCTTCTCAAGATAAGATTGTTCCCTTTGATACCCAGATTCGCGGAATTGACATCATTATCCACAAAAAATATGATTATTGTTTATCACATGCGTGAAACAAGCTAATCCATCGTCACTCTCCGGCTTCTCTTCTTATTTTTTCTGCCATTTTTCCTTGAAGAATTCTTTTTTTTTTTCTTTTTCTTTTTTTTTTGGTTGGGTGACGATTCATGGACTACTCCAAAGAAACGGAAGGAAAGAGAATCCATGATCCATACAATTTCTCCAACAACATGGCCAAATCATCATCTTCCCCGACCGCCACAAGAACCACGACGAGAAGAAGGTGCGTATGGGTTCCCGGACCGGTTATTGTCGGCGCCGGGCCGTCGGGACTGGCCGTGGCGGCCTGTCTGAAGGCGAAAGGAGTCCCGAGTTTAATTCTCGAACGTTCGAATTGCATAGCCTCGCTATGGCAGTTCAAAACGTACGACCGTCTTCGTCTTCACCTCCCCAAGCAATTCTGCGAGCTTCCATTGTTTCCCTTCCCTTCAAACTTCCCGACTTACCCCACAAAGCAACAGTTCCTCTCGTACCTTCGCTCGTACGCTCGCCGGTTCGGGCTCGAACCGGTCTTTAACCGGACGGTGGTCAGCGCGGAATTCGACGGGCGATGTGGGTTTTGGAAGGTGAAGACGATGGGGCCCAAGAGGGAGGAGGAGACGGAGTATGTTTGCCGGTGGTTGGTGGCGGCGACGGGGGAGAATGCAGAGGAGGTTTTGCCGGAGATTCAGGGGATGGACGGTTTTAATGGACCGGTTATTCACACGAGCTCTTATAAGAGCGGCGAAATGTTTATGGAGAAGAAGGTTTTGGTCGTTGGTTGTGGAAATTCCGGCATGGAGGTTTGCTTAGATCTTTGCAACTTCAATGCTCGTCCCTCTCTCGTGGTTCGCGACTCGGTAAGCCAATTTATACACACACACATACATATATATATATATATGCATATATATGTATATTTTGTGAACACTGTTTGGCTTGAAGGTATTCACTTGTTCACATATAGATCTCCAACGGTATGGGTTAAACCCATAATTTTTTAAATGCGAGCTGCCATATATATATATATGTAAATGAGACATGTGAGATGAGATGGACGATTCCATGAGTATGTTCAAATTAATAACGTTTTCTTTTTTGAACGTTTAATGATGACCTAGGGTTCAAAGTTCAAAACATCGTAACCGACAAAACTCCGTTTTGTTTGACATTAGTTTTTCAATTAGTTTTTCAATTAGAGTGTCTTAATGTTTTGTTTGTTTATCGAGTTCTTTTTAATTTTTTTTATAAATTTACCAAGTGCACTTATACGCCTTTTCCTATAGTAATTCTCTACCGTATTCATAAGATCATATGAACAAATTCTTGTTCTTGACCGGAACAAGTTTCATATGTTTTTTTTTTTTAAAACTTTTTCACCCTCCTTATTCTTGTTCCAAACATTGTGCAGGTGCACGTTTTGCCGCAAGAAATGCTCGGGAGATCAACTTTCGGTCTGTCCATGTGGATGCTCAAGTGGTTACCGATGCGTGTTGTGGATCGGTTCTTGCTACTAATGTCTCGGTTGATTCTTGGCGACACAGATCAGTTAGGGCTAATCCGACCAAAACTTGGTCCCCTAGAACTTAAGACCGAATCTGGAAAGACTCCTGTCTTGGATGTGGGCACGCTGGCCAAAATACGAACCGGAAGCATCAAGGTTCAACACGATTCAAAACACTAATTTAACACGCGGAAAGCAAGCGCGATTATATGTATCCGAATGTGATTGATAGCGTTTTTTCCCGTATGTTGATTGATGACAGGTTTATCCGAAGTTGAAGCGGGTGATGCACCACTCGGTTGAGTTTGTCGATGGGAGAGTGGATAACTTTGACGCCATTATACTTGCTACCGGCTACAAAAGCAACGTCCCCATGTGGCTAAAGGTGTGTTTATATATGTGTACATTATGATATGTCTACATCTTCATCATTCCTTTTTTTCATTTGATGTTACACATATCCAACACGATATTTTCTTGAGAGCGTTTTCACGAGCTTTTTCTGAGTCGGTTTTGGTTCTGTGTAGGGGATGGATATGTTCTGTGAGGGAGATGGATTTTCCCGAAAGCCGTTACCTAACGGATGGAAAGGCGATAACGGGTTTTACGCCGTTGGATTCACGAAACTTGGATTGCTTGGTGCGTCGATTGATGCCAAGAGAATCTCCGAGGACATTGAACTTCAATGGAAGGCCGAGGCCAAGAATTTCTCGGCCTTTCATCGTTCTCTGCAGCGTTAACCGGATATTTTGATATCCGGTGATGGGTTTTTAGGAAGGGAAAAGGAAATTGGTTTCACATTTATGTGATGTTCCTAACTCTTTTAAAATTTGTGACATGAGGCTTGGAAAGGTAGGGTTAGATCAAAGTTAGGTCAAAGATTTTTGGTTGTTTCCCTCTTAGCAATAGATGATCCACCTTTGTATTTACATATATGTGTGTTTGCTTTTGTGTATATATATATATATATATATATATATATATAAGATTACTGTAAGTGATTGTAATTGAAGCTCTTTATATTCACATGTTTCTCTTTTAGTTTTAGGGTTTTGGTCGAATGAGGAATTCGGTTTTGTGTCTTTATGGATGCTTTAAAATTCATGTGGTGGTGGAGAATTAGATAACTCCCGAAGATGTATTAATTTAATTCGTATTGGGATTTATATATCATATGGTGTAATTGTTTAATAACCTAAAATATAATATGAAAGTTATTGAAAATGGAGGTGAATTGTCTGATGTTTAAAAAAGTTTAATAACATTTTTTATATATAATTTTAACATTTCGATACGATTGATAATAATGGTTAGTGGTGGTTTATTTTGAAGGGTTCTTGTATACAGATTAATTTACATTTACATATATATATATATATAAAATATGGAATGGATAGTTATTGGAAATGAAAGCTATAAATGTATGATGAGTACAACCTATGAAAGAAATGGAGGCCTTCCTTTTCCCGATTTGCAGAAGATTCGATTGACCCTTTAGCTGTGGACCAACATTTACATTATTTTTTTGTAAAATAAAATAAAAGAAAAAGGTAACCACGAAAGCAATCCAAGACGAAAAAAAGGTTAAAGTAAAACTAAGCAAACTATATATATATATATGTGTGTGTGTGTGCGTGCAAATACTCATTGTATGTATGTATGTATGTATGTATGTATGTATGTATGTATGTATGTATGTATGTATGTATGTATGTATGTATGTATGTATGTATGTATGTATGTATGTATGTATGTATGTATGTATGTATGTATGTATGTATGTATGTATGTATGTATGTATGTATGTATGTATGTATGTATGTATGTATGTATGTATGTATGTATGTATGTATGTATGTATGTATGTATGTATGTATGTATGTATGTATGTATGTATGTATGTATGTATGTATGTATGTATGTATGTATGTATGTATGTATGTATGTATGTATGTATGTATGTATGTATGTATGTATGTATGTATGTATGTATGTATGTATGTATGTATGTATGTATGTATGTATGTATGTATGTATGTATGTATGTATGTATGTATGTATGTATGTATGTATGTATGTATGTATGTATGTATGTATGTATGTATGTATGTATGTATGTATGTATGTATGTATGTATGTATGTTTAAGGAAAGTATACTTCAGGTCTTTCTGAAAGGTCTCGGGCTCTCTCTCATGGAGTTCCAAAGGGGAAGCCCCTCAAGGTTTTGTCACATTTATGTGATTTTACTTACACCTTAAGCAATAAATTCAATGAGAATACAAAATCGAAACATATATTGCCTTCATTAGATACAGGCGCGACGTGTGTGTATATATATATGTAAGTATATATGTGTGTATGTGTCTATATCTTCATCAAGAGATTGGACCACGAGTACGTATTTCAGTGAATTAGCCCATACATTTTCCACCACAACTTGTTTTCGATGGGGTCTAATGTACTTATTGTCTACGAACACATAACTTGCAGTCCCTTCTCCATTAGCCATTAGGAGATTTCTCTCCAACTATTTCTGAAATTTTCTCGGCTGTTCTTATCTATCTATACTAATTGTTCGTCCATTAGACCGCAAAATCTTGATTGGAACCGTCGAGAGATTTGCGTAATATCGTTAATTAACGATCATTCCTCGGTTACATATATCATTCTTTTTTTTTGTTATAGAGATAAGCAACATTTGGTTTTTAGTAACCTAGTAGTGTTGTTTGTACAAAGTTTTGAAATATATATATATATATATATTATAAATCGTTACAAAATATGTAAATGAAGAAATGGATGAGATTTCGGGGGTATGCCTAAAGTATCAACATCAAATTGGAGGGTGGTGGTAGGAGTGAAAATGGGATACATGCATGATGCATGTATAATAAGGTGTGGCCCATAAAATCATATAATACGCCAAAATTCTTCTAGTCCCCTTAATTCCTATCATATACGTTCTTTTCGTATTTATTGCTCTACTCTGTTCATTTCGCTTAAAGATGGATGGAATGTCTTTATTTTCCTTTTGGAGTCCACAATCTGAAACATTTTTATTTTTAAATTTGTTTATACTATATCTGATAATATATATATATATAGATAGATATATAACGGAACAACTTGCTTATAGTCTTAAGTTCTAGCCAACGTCATGATGCTATAATTCTTCACCAACCTTTAATATAACAATTAATGTATACAATAAGCTATACTTTAAAAGTGGTTTAAGCGGCGACAAGATGAACAACTAATAGAAAGGTTTCCTTTTGAGTATATACTTTCTATATGCACATCATCATCATGAAATATAAAAACATAGTAAATTAATAACCTAAAAATAATTAATGGACCAATATATACATTTTTTGTATAACCAAGAGGTTCGAAGGTCCAATTAATCTCATAGATCCGGAGACAGCCTTTAGTGCGATTAAATCGCACCCTCCTACCAACGGAGGTTGGTCCGAATGGTAAGCGGCTCAGACAGATGATATCCCAACCACATTCTACACCCAGAACTACAACCACTCGATCACCGTAAGTTGGGCAACAAATACACTTGTATAACCTATAAGTCTAAATTAGAGACAATATAATTTATATGTTAAGTTATAATACGTTATGTTCAAGTGTTGAATGTCGATGAGTTTAAGGAAGATTTCATAAAACTTCCATGGCAATAGATTTATAGTTATCAAGATTTCGACTTATGATATAGTCTATCGTTTATATGATGATACTATTTCGATCCGGAATTTTGTATGAAACATCATCATAAGCCGACATATATAAATCCAATGTTTTTATTCCTATGTTGCTTTAATTAGGGGGACGATTGGGTGTTTTCATGAATTATTATTATGAGATAATTGATAAGCAAATCAATGAAAAAGCATTAATAAAGACGAGCTTCCACATGGTCCATAGGAACGTGCATGTTATTAAGTATTGTGTTATGGTTCGACCCTCGCTTGCATGCCATGCTTATTCCGTACGGTTTCACATGCATATGGACCATTCCCATTATGTAGTTGATTTTCTTTTCTGGTTATTATAATTAATTTTTTTTTACAGCTTTTATTATCCGTGGTCCATTTTCTTGTTTTTTCCTTGGTTATTAGGCCGCATTAATAGATACTAGATGTGTACAACCAAACCAATCGGCCAACTCCGATAACATATAATCCCTAACTATATATATATATATATATATAATCTTCGTAATATATAGTAACACTATGTTTTAAATTGTTAATGAATCTCGATCTATATATATATATATATATATATATATATATATATCATTCGGTCGAAGTACTGTAAAGGCGCCAATTGCCATAGTGACATATTGTCCATATAATCATGTTAACTAGGGTTTGATGGTTAGCAACCAAAACGATAATGTTTCATCGGATCTAGCTTTTAAATGGATTCATAACCATTCCCAAGTATAATTAGGATAGAGACATACGTCAGCAAGAGCGGGTCCAAATTAAGTAAAAATATTTTACCCAACGATTCCAAATATAAACAAAGATATCGGGACCGGATCAAGTAAATGCCACGTGGAAGCTGTAAGAAAAGAGAGAGAGACACTTTATAGCTTTAGAGGAATGCATGCGCTTTAACACGACGAAACAATGGTGAAAGGGAAAACACGTAATAAGTACTCTGTCAGCTCCCACCAATTATATGTATGTATGAACCCCCAATGACCTTCGAGTTTATTTGATCCCAAATCGCACGCTCCCTTTGAAAAAAAAATATATATGTTCACTTATTCCCAACACTATGTCACGTCCATTTCGTGCGAGAGAAAGTTAATTATGATCTTTTTGATTAGTATTATCAATTATATCAATTTCAAAAACTCCAACCCTTTTGAATTTCCAGGGTATATATCTTGATATTTGGTCCGGCCAAACCTTGTATGTTGAGAATATGTATTATGAGTTCTTTCCATTCATATATTATACAAATATTAATTAGTACCAATATTAGATCTATATATGTTCTTGGGTTGGTATGGTTATCTTTGGTTTGGTTCGGCTTGTAACTTCTTTTTGGTGTTAGATTGTTTATTGCTGGTTTTCTCTTTCAATGTTTTGGTATAAAACGCGCTATTACCGCATTTTCTCATTTTGAATGAAAATTCAAAAAAAACTCCATCGTTATCGTTAAATGTAAATTTCTATGATTCTTCATTTTCTTTACAACAGATGAATTTAAATTCGTAACATGGTATCAAAACCTAATTAATTTGATCTTATAGTGGTTGTTTCTCGGCCGAACTAACAGAAATATAAAAGAATATATATACGATAGCTAGCGAGTTTATTGTTAAAATTTTGCGATAAAGTTTAATGATTTTGACCATAAAACACAAGATATATATACATATGTGTAAACAAATAAATATCAGTATATGTAGAGGGAAGGGTGGGGAAAAAAAGACAAGAGTGAAGTTACAACATGAGATCTTGTGAGAGATTTGTGTGGTAGGGTGAATTCAGTTCAGTGGGGGGAATGGGCCACGGGTTTTGCAAGTTGACTGTTTCAATGATTAGAAAGCATAACTTAACTCCACATGTTTAGGGATTCCGAGATGTGAGGGTCCTTAACTAACAAACACCAACCTCTCTCTCTCTCTCTCTCTCTCTCTCTCGATGGGAGAAAACATAATGCAGAGATAGATCCTATATCTATAGCCATGTAGCATGCATTATCTCCTCTCTTTTTTTGAACTTTTTTAAGGGATGCCACGCTAAAGTTGATTATAAAACAAATGGTCAAGATCGTGTGATCTAGGCGATGACTTTCGAGGTCAAGAAGATGCGTAATCCAAGAGTTTTGATGCCTTGTGTCAGTTATTTTCACCACATTCGTTCCAGAAAAATATCTTAATATAGTTAGAATTCTCATCCTTATTTTCACCGCGTTTCGAGACAGTAAATAAGGGGTTAATTACCCATTATAATTAGGGTTTCTCCAAGAATATATATATATATATATATATATATATAAGTTGTAGCGCATTTTCTGTCGTGATAATAGAGTTTCTTGAGTGCATAATTATTTACAAATATCATTAGTTAGTTTTGCCTTGTGTATTTCAAAATTATTTTATGGCATATATATAAGCATCGTTAAATACTAGAATTTGGTAAATTTTTTGTTTTTTTTATAATCTAAAAGTTTACCAGATTTTTGGTCCAACTACATCTTTCATAGCATGGGAAAAGTCCAGGTGAATCCTCTTCTCAACGCTTGGATTTGAACCCATGTAAAAATATGTTTTGCATGTTCGTCACTCAAATTTGGGTAATGTTATTTTTTTTATAAGATTCTGTGCGTTTTTTGTCAATATATATTGAATTATGTTTAATTTTAATTATTGTTTATTTAATTAATATAAATCTCTAAAATATAAGATAAAATCAAAATAAAAATATAAGATAAAATCAAAATCAAAATATTACGTAATATTTTCCATATCTTTTGAAAGAGGATCCGAACTAGGTCCGAACCACAGCTTTTATAAGATAAAAATTTATTTACTATTAAACTAAAAAAACACTAAAATTAGCATTGCGTTGAATTTGCGTAATATAATAATTGGAAAATAAGAAATGTTTCGAAATGTATCCGACATACCATATGAAGTTAAACTATAAAATATGAAATTATTCGTACAGCATAATCATTTCATACATAGAAGAAAATAAGCGAAAAAGAAAGGGAACGGTCTCCTATTACGGTGCCATGGGCAATGGAGGATCGATTTCATTACACAGAGAGAATCTTCGAGATGGATATTCTTGTCAAAGAATCTTTGTTTCATTTCACATTTTAAAAAAGCTTCAAGTTGGTCCTCACCTTTTTTTTTTTTTTTTGCTACCACGTGGAAAATTACCACATGATTCCACTAAAGTCACATTGAAGAGACAAGTGATGGCATGGTAGAAATAAAATAAAATTTCTATCATTACATTGTAGAATCTTACATCTATTATATATATATATATATACACACACACATATAAGTGATGGGTATATACGAAAGAAAAAAACTCTACCTGACCTAGTTTATATAACAATGTCAAATTCTCTCTGATTTTTTTTTATTAAAAAATCATAAAAATGACAAATAAAATAACTCAGAAATTATTAGCTAAACATCTTATAAATCTACTATTATAAGAATCCTACTAAAATTTTATGTATTGTATATTTTCCAAGTTTTTCTGTGTTTCACATCAAACATTTTTTTTATAAAAAAAGCATAATTGTTTCAAATTCTTAAAATTTCAATGTTTAAATAAATTAATTTTAGATGATTTAACTAATTAATTTTTTTTCTATCTATCCATTACAAAATTAATTTTTTTAAATATTTTGTAGAATCTTAATCTGTATAATTACAAGAAATTTAGTTAGCTTATAGATTCATTTTATACCTTTGGATAAATTTATGGATTTTAATTAGTTCTGAATAAAATAATTCAAATGAACCCAAAACAAAAAATGTAGCCGTAGCCATTATCTTATCTCAGAGCCCAGTTGACAAAAACATAAGCCCATGTCGAAATCTAAGGAATTTTTATCACAATCACATCAAAGCTCAAAGGGTTAAAATAAAGATTGCAACTTTCATTCTTTATTATGTATTCACAAACATCAGAATCACTTCCTACAACCACATAATGGTGTCTCAGAGATCAACAAAACTCTTAGCGAAAACTCGAGCTCGGGTCACGCCTTCTTCTATTCCGACTTGAGAATCACAAACCCGATAAACATGGCGAGGAAGGAGAGGAGAGCAAAAACGGCGGATACGGGCACGAGAATTGCATAGTCTTGGGGCAAGAAATACTTGTGGATGAAGTGGTCTGTATCTACAAATGGCTGCAGAGTTCAAAATAAAACAGGACATGAGAGAGTTACATCAAACAACAAATGATCATTCTACTATGCTCTCGAGAGATGAAGTTCTCACCGAGATGATGATCCAGAAAGTATAGTAAATGAAGATGGACAAGCTGATGGAAGACAGTAGAAACCCGACTGCCCGATCAGCTAACTCCATTTTCGCATCTGCAGCTCTCAGCACTGCTCGATCGATCTGAAAACCGCATAAGATCGAAGACAGCCACTGAGAGAAGCAATCGAAACGAAGAAGTATATGAATCCAGTGAAACAAATTAGGCCATAGAAGTAATCACTTGAAGGGGCAGCTAGCTAAACACACAACCTCAGATTCCCTTAAAGCATGATCTTTCCTTGTCAAAATCAGACAAAGGAAAGAAACAAAGATTGGGAATTTTCGGAACGTCAATCATAAGCATAAACCAGATTGTTAGCAACTGTCATAAACTTCTTCCAAATGTAGCAGCATTAGAGGTTAGATTGCAAGTGAAATACAAACGCTAAATTCATCCAATCCTCCGGACCCAGATTCCAGAATCAAGAGGAAGTTCCAGTGAATCAGAGATTTTCACGAAGCATGAAGCAGAAACAAGAAAAAACACAAAATGGGTCTATCGATATCGATCCAATTCCAAGAATATCAAACGACTTCCAAACACAACTTTCCAACAAAAAAAAAAGGCCCTGACAAACTGAAGTTCATCCCAGTGATCTTCCCAATTCACGGTGATTTTCATTAAAAACAACGAAAAGAAAGCAAACCCAAGTCTAAGCGAACCAAAACATCCAAAAAAGGGGAAAGGACTTGAGCAAGGGAAGAAGTATTAGTTACCGGTAAACGGCGAAGGCGACGGCGATCGCAGCGGCGGAGGGATTTTAAGGTGGAGGGGATTCGGAAAATAGGAATCAGGGAATTTTGTTTCGTAGTTTAAATATTTATTGGGCTTTTATGGGCCGATTCAACGGTAACCCAATTATAATGGGCCTCTTTAATAATGTAGGCCCATTTAAGCACTTTTTTTTTGTGTGTGTAAACAGCTTGCAATCTTTTTTTTTTTTTATTGTCGGAACCCCTCTTCTATCCTTCCGGCATCGTTGGATGGGTAAACCCCCCACGTACAAAGTTCATGATACATATAAATCATCCATAACTTATTATGGACCATAGGTGAACGGACAAAAAGTCAAATCCCAAATCTTTCGATATGTTGACCACTCTTCTTAATTTGGGTTTCTCCAACTGTTTGTAATCTTGCATTACACCAATGTGAATATTGGACCTTTTCCGGGTAAATTTTATAATGTGGATGTTATTTTTCAATGACGAACAACCAATTATTAGTCAATTCATTGAACAAATGATAATGACCGTGACCAAACAATGGTGAAGGATCATACACACAACTATATATATATATATATATAGAGAGAGAGAGCAAATGAAATTCAGACATAAACTGCCTAGGAATCTTTGAGAACACAACACATAAAAACCGACCACGTAAGCGAACTCTCTAATCAATGAATCAATAAAGAGAGAGAGAGGAGAGCCACTAACAGAAGACCGAACACGTAATTAGGGTTTTTTTAACGGCGGTTCGATCCAACCACCGTCTTCCTCCGCCGTGAATCTGCGGCGGTTCTCGGCGGCTCGAGCTGCAGGACCAAGAACTCGGAGCACATCTCCATGAAGAACTGTTCGACGATGTCGAGATAAGCGGGACAGCGTAAACGAGAGTAGTAATGGAGAAACTCTTGAACATCTGAAACACGATCGGTCTCCGCCGTCATAACATCGATCATTGTCTCTATCTCCTCCAACTTCTGTCGAACAAGCTGAATCTTGGGCCTTGATGAACATATTTTTACAGGACTTTTTTGTTTTGCATGGAGTTGAAGCTGCTTGCGCAATGATGGTGATGGTGATGGTGATGGTGATGGTGATGGTGGTGGTGGTGGCGATGGTATGATGATGATGTCTGGGTTATGGGTTATGTTGATGTTTTGGGAGATGGATAATGTGAGGTCGGTGCATAGTGGTTTGTTAATGGCGGTGGTGGTGTTATGGCTTTTGGGTAGTTTTTGGTAGCCATTGGAGAAGAAGGATTTGAAGTTTTCTAGGGTTTTTTCGAAGAATTTTCTTGCGTTGGAGATGGAGCTTCTAAGCATCTTCTTCTTCTTCTTCTTCTTCTTCTTCTTTCCTGTAGAAGATATATATATATATATATATATATATATGGAGAGAGAGAGAGAGAGATTTCTCTATTTGTTCGCTCTTCTACTTAGAGTTTGGTGGTTTGTCTGTGTAAATCTTTTGCCTATACCAACAATTTATGTGGAAGGGGATATATATATATATATATATATATATGGAACTGTATTTATGGAAGAAAATCCAGACCCATTTTATTTTAAAACTTTCCTTCTTTTCTTTTGTACAAAGGGTATTTTCTTTATGAGACAAAAGGAAGATTTTAAACTTCGGTTTAGCAAAATCTATGCCTAAACCGGACAATGAATTAGAACTTAGAGGAGTCGTAGTTCTATCACGCCGAAATCTGCTGACTATAATTATGCATATATGTTTTGTAGAAATAAAATTGAATTTATAAGGATATAATAAGCCCTTGTTATTTCAAATATGCACGTCATATAATTTGACTAACCAAATTTTAAAATATTATTATTAATCATTAATTTACAAAAACAAAAACAAAAACAAAATGTCGCCATGATGATTGTTTTCAACTTTGGATGGTCACTTTTTGTCTTGAGACGCTCCGATCTTTTGTCCCTTTGTTCTTACCACCGAAATACTCCATACTTTTCATTATCTTTTCTTATATTTCACTTCCTCGGATTCTAAATAAAATTAAATTTTGTCCCACATTATATCATATGCATTAAACTATATATATATATATATATATATTAGATTCGATTTGAATTATTTGGCTTCACTCTTGGAATTCAAAATATAATTAGTTCGCAAAAACTGAATCAAAGTGAAATTATATATAAAAAAAAACTACGTTAAGGGAAATAGAAAGAGAGGTAAGTATATCTTTTGCTTCACATCTACTTTTTGGATAATATAGTAAGTGGGTATCTTGTTTTCGGATGCTTTGGTTGTTGAATTTGCAAATTCTGCATTTGATTAATTTTTAAATCAAAATAATTTATAAATTATAATGGAAGTATAAAAATAGTTATAAAAAAGAATCCAACCCAAACCAATTTAACTATTTTTGAACAAATATATAAGGATATTGGTTGAAAAATATTCTCAATTTTGGAGTTTGATCTATTAATTTGACACATTTAAATATTATTTTGTCAAATTAAAAGTGAGATATTCATTTGGTACATTTTGAAAAGTCGAGATATTTATATATATATATTTTCATATTTTATACCATAAACGTCTAACATTTTACAAATACAACGGATAGAGAATTCATATACGAATACAAACAATCGCCATAAATATCAAAACCTTTGGGTACAAAAAAACATTTCAAGAAAGGACAAAAGAACAAAGAATGACAAACATCACGAAGCAACAGATTGAGAGAACATTACCTTAAAAACCAAACCTCTCCTAACAAAGATTCTGGAGGGTGAAGTGAAGAACATGTCTTGAGAATTTGAGGTATAACTCTTTAACCGAATCGAATCAGATCGGTCCGAAATGATCAGATCTTTCTAACCATTAACGCCTATACGAAGATCAAACCCGAAACCTTTTTCACTGCGACAAAGCTCGAAGGCCGGCCTCTATATCCTCCAGCGTGATCGTGCAGATCTCGTCGGTATCGACGCATTCGAAACTCAGCCTGAGATCAAGATTCTCTCTGGCATTAACCAGCAATGTATCCACCAATCCGCCGTTCATCTCTTTCCTCTGTTTCTCCGTGGTTTCTCTCTCGATCATGGACAAGATTTCATCCATGGTGCATGATTCGTGCAAGGCGAAACCGTAAAGCGGGTTTGATTCTGTCTGGTTTTTCATCTTGATGTGTAGAATCTCTGCCAGTTCTTTGGAGCTGAAGTCGTCGAAAGTGAAAAATTTCGTGACCCTTCTGCAAAACCCTTCATTTGATCCGATCACACGTCTCATCGGCTCGCTGTATCCCGCGAATATCACCACTACTTTCCCGGTATCCATTACCGACATTATTTCTTCCAAGGCTTCTAGACCGTAGTCCTTGTCGTCTGCCTTCTGCATTGGTATTAAACGGTATGCTTCGTCCACAAACAGAATTCCTCCCTCGGCTTCTTGGATCTGTTGTTCACGAAGTGGAAGGATTTAGTTTCTTGGATTCGTACACAACTCACAAGTACAATCAATCTATCCGTTTTGTCTTAAAAAAAAAACTGTCACCTTTCTCCTGGTCTTTGGCCCGGTATGTCCGACAAATTCACCAACCAAATCCGTTCTCTGAACTTCCGTTACCTTGTCGGTCGGTAAAATTCCAACCATGTGGAGCAACTTCCCAAGAACTCGAGCCACCATGGTTTTACCTGTCAAAACAAATCCGAGCAAGAAAAAAATTCAGGACGTGAAAATGTTTTGACACGCCCTAGTTGTTCATGAACAATAATAAGGCATATATATTCTTTTCTTAAATCACCTGTTCCGGGATTTCCAAGAAAAGCCATGTGAGGAGATCTTCTAGCTCCGATGATTAAACCCAGAGCCCGACGCCTTTCATCTAAAAGCATCCCTTTAGCCCATTTCCTGAGTTGAGCTTTCAACTCACTTAACCCAACGATTTTAGATAACTCCTTCTCAAGAAGATCCATTTTAGCTTTTGTCTCACTGCAAGCTTCGACAGCTCGTTTCCTTCTCTGTTCTTGGAGATGCCATCGTAACAATTCTCTCAACTTGTCACTCCCCGGTCCTCGAGGTAGATGGTCCAATGGAGTCAATCCTTCCTGCGAAATGGAGAAACCCTTTGGTCATAATTCAAGTACATAAGTTATGTAAGAAAAAAAGACAACTACCAAATCGTCGAAGAGGAGAATGTACATTGTCTTTTGCACTGCAATCAGCACTGTTCTCAAGCAGAGTTTTAACAGTTGAGATGTCCTTCGAGCTGATTGAGTACCAAACAGCGAGGTGTAATGGCGTCATACCATTCTGTGCAAAAAGAAACCGAGCCAGAGAGGATCTAAGCATTAAGCTGTTTCTCTTTTATAGTTACAAAACATATACAGAGAAACCCGTGTATCGGAATAAGAAATAGAGAAACATTACACTTGCTTTGGCTTCGATGAAAGCACCGTGATCTAGAAGCAGCTTTGCAGCTTCGTTGCATCCGTTCTTGGCCGCCATGTGCAAGGGGGTTTCGCCATACTGAGAAAAAATATTCGTCGGTCGGTCAGGACAGGAAACGAGGTTCGTTCCGGTATGAAAGATTAGTAAAAATCTTACAGAAAACCAAACATCATATGACGAAATTCAGCTTACACTATTCTTGGCTTCCATCTCGACTTTCTCAGATCCCGTCCATTCGAGCAGATACTTAACGATATCTACCTTGCCATTACCAGCAGACACGTGAAGCGGTGTGTGAGACATCTGCATTCGATTCAATCCATTCGGAGTTAATATATATTGATATGAACATAATTACGATTTCTCAAAAATTCTGGGCTGAATCTAGGAAATGTACACAAAATCCGGAAAGGCAAGTAGCTAGATCGATTTCTACAAGACACCATATCCATAATTCAGGAGGATTTCTCTGAGCATTCGAGACACATTGCTCAAAAACTCAAGCTACTTCAAAGACAAAACTGGCTGATTCTAACGCAAACCCTACACTAGATTCGATCGACCCATTACAGATTCATCGAAACAAATCCTCAAAATCCCAACTTTTTCAGATTCCCATTTCACGGCAAGCAGCCAAAAGCGAGATCTTTAAAAGAAAACTTCAAGAAATGCGACGAGTGGGGAGAGATCTTACGACGGGATTGCGCTCGTTGAGAAGAGAAGGGTTGTCCTTGAGCAGCCTCTGCAAGCCCAGGAGGTCGCCGGAATGAGCACAGCCGTGGATTGTGGTGGGTCTGGCCGATCTCAGCCGTTGATCTCCTCCTCTGCTCATCATCTTCGCTCGGACAAGAAGAAAAAAAAACAAAAACTTTCCCTCCTTTTCACCCAAAAATCTTCTGGGTTTCAAAGGATTCTCACCGGGGAAAAGTCTATGGCGGCCAGTGATCTCTCTATATCCTCTGCGAAGAGAAGGGATATATGGAAACGAGAGTACCTCCGCGTCTCCCTCTTTCGCCGAGAATCTTCGTTTAGCGTTTTTCCCAAAATTTTCTTCACGTGTTAAATTACCGTTTTGCCCCTACCTCATTTTGTGTGGACCTCGTTGAACCGTTGGCGCTACCAAAAACCCAGCTGCACCAAAATTATTAATCTAGAACTACAAATTATAATAATGCTAACAATAATTTGTCTGTAATTAAAAAATATGCGACTTTTTCTTATACTTATTTCTCTTTCATCATATAATTTCATATTTAATTTTTTTGGGTGAAAATTTTATATTTAATTTAGTGGTTTGACAACAATGTTGATAGTAATTCACATGAGCAGCTGATATATTTCTTATGTATACGCATATGTTGCCAAACTGTGAATATATATATATAAAATAATTACGAAATACAATAACGCGTTGTGTATATTTCTATCTAGAAGCTGGTTGTTATTTAGAATTTCTATATTGTCATGAAAAAAAATGAAGAAAAAAAAAATAGAAAGGTCTGCTTGTTGCTTATGAGTAATAAATCCTAAATTGTGTTTTACATGTTAATAAATATAAATAATTAATATTTCAAAGTGGTAAACAAATCCGATAATATCTAGTTGTATCCAATCCCAATTTAATGTAATAAAATAATTTTTTTTTTAAATCAAACAATTAGAATTTGAAACGAATGGATAAATAACAATAAAATTTTAAAATAAAATTAAATATATATGGCATATTTTCTAAAAAAATAAATTCATAAATAATTAAAAATGAGGCTTTGGCAATATAATACAGCTTGACTTGAGAATGTTGAGGTCAGTGAGCTGGAATACAGATAACTGTCTTAAGCATCAAGTCTTTATCATTGTATTTTTCACTTTTATTTTACCATAAGAATGATTTTATCGTATGATTGTCTTTGATATTGACGAAATAAAAAAAAAAGGCAAAATGACATTTTCCTACACCGAATCGGTTAAATGTGATCTTTTTCCACACGAATTTTTAATTTGACAAAAAACTACACCAAATTATCTAATATGTCAAATTGATACACGAACTACCCAATTTAACTGCAATTTCATATACAATCCGAAAACAGTGTTAAATGTTCATTAACCGATGACGTGGCATGCCACGTGGCATCTGAAATGGCACGCCACATGAAAAATTTTGCCATGTCAACATGTCACGTCATATTTTTTAAAAAATAAAAACAAAAAATCCAAAAAATTGCAAAAAAATAAAAAACAAAATTTTAAAAACTAAAAACAAAAAATCTAAAAAAAATACAAAAAAATAAAATAAAAATAAAAGTAAAAAGTAAAAAAAATACACATATATACATATATATTCATATCTATGTACAAATACAAATATAAACATATATATTCCTATATGTATATATTTATATATTTTTTTTTATTTTGTATATATTTATATAGGAGGATTTATGTTTATAAATTTGTATTTGTATATGGATATATATATATATATATATTATTTTGTATGTATGTACGTATATATATATACACACAATATATACGTGTATATGTATTTATATATATATATATATGTATATGTATATATATAAATATACTTGTATGTATATATATGCATATATAGTATACAAATAATGTATGTATATATATTTTGTATGTATATGTATATATATGTTTGTATACACTATACAAACATCTATACAAATATATATACATATACATACAACAAATATATTTATATATATACATATATAAATACATATATATGTATATATATACATATGCATATACATACATACAAAAGAAAAAAATTCATATATATATATATATATTCACATCCACATACAAATACAAATATAAACATAAATACTCCTATGTATATATATTTCTATATATATCAAATAAAAAATATACACATATATACATGCATGTATACAAAATATATATGCATATACATATATACAAGTATATATATACATATATATATATATATAATATACATGTATATATTGTGTATATATATACGTACGTACATACATACAAAACAGTATATATATATATACATACAAATACAAATATTAACATAAATCCTCATATATATATATATATACAAAATTAAAAAAATATACAAATATATATATAGGAGTATATATATTTATATTTGTATTTGTATATAGATATGAATATATATATATATGTATATATGTGTATTTTTATTTTTATTTTTATTTTTGTATTTTTTTGGATTTTTTTTAAATATGTTCTTTTTTGCAATTTTTTTAGAATTTTTTAAAATCTGGCGTGGCATACTGACATGACAAAAATTTCCATGTGGCGTGCCATGTCAGATGCCACGTGGCAGCCACATCATCGGTTAATGGACATTTAACACCGTTTTCGGATTGCGTAGGAAATTGCAGTTAAATTAGGTAGTTCGCGTATCAATTTGGTATATTAGATAATTTAGTGTAATTTTTTATCAAATTAAAAATTCGTGTAGGAAAAGGTCACATTTTACAAAATTGGTTTAGGAAAATGTCATTTTTTCAAAAAAAAAATATATATGGAACCATTTTAGTAATATAGACCAAGAACAACAGGTTTATGACATAGAGATGTACCAATATTAAGATAATTTGATGTGGTTATAAGCTTTTGATTTTTTTTTTGAGAACTTGAAATTATGATATTTTTTTATAATCGAAACATAGATCCTATAAAATAGAGAAAATTCGGGTGAATATACTTATGTCTTATCAATTATAATGTTGTAATAATAGTTTTTAATTATTTTATAAAAATACATATTGATACTATAATTTTCGCATGTGATTTTTTTTATTGATGGATTTTGTAGTTATAAACGGATTTTCTATCGAGATTAGTAAACTTTGATTTGGGATTGATCAAGATTAAAGTTCGAGATTATATAGTATATTCTGTCCTTTTTTTTCGGTTCTGTTTGTGCATATAAATTTTTTATGGCAAAATTCATAAAAGCAAGTATATTTATAATTTGGATATTTTAAAAGCAAGATTACATTCCAACCAAAAAGAGAATATATATATATGTATGGTAGGAAATTTTGTTATCTACGGTTATGTATATATCTAATTTGGATATTGGATTTTATATTTATTTTTTTTCACCGAACATTCGCTTAATCCGGTTGTGTATTTTTGTAGTGGACGTGATCATAAAACCCACTTTTTTTTGGCTCCTTTCATTTCTTATCAATTATGGACCACCTAGTAGACGGTATATGACAAATACAACCTAAATATTGCATGATAAATAGATATATTATAACATATATATATATATAATTTATATAAACATAAAAAAACCATGATTTTATATAATATAGTTTGCCATATGGCCCCTATCCCATAAAGTACGTCGAAAATTAAATTCAAAACAAACATTTAGACAAGATTGGTTACAGTCGAACAATTCTTTTAGTTTTCAAGTTTTCCATTGGGAATTACAAAAGAAACAAGAAATTGTTTTTTCAAAAAAAGAAAAGAAATTATATTGCAATTATTTTATTTGTCATGCAATATATTTTTTTCTTTTTTGATAATGGTCATGCAATATTTAGGTCGAGAGGGAACGACGTTTACCCTACAGGAGACAGGAGAGGACGAGTTATGGATATGGTCAGTGTCGTCATCGTCAATGTCCTGAGCTAAACATGTTCCAAGGATTATATCCAAAATCAAGATTAATCAATCATTCATCTTTGACAAAAAAAAAAAAAGATTAATCATTCATCATCATCATCATCATCATCATCATCATCAAGGAGGAGGAAAAAATCAGATGGACACGTGTCGTAACTGGGCAATCGGGATGAGGTTGCTTTAACGTGTGGCCATCACACTTCTCTGCTTCCAATCCACCGCCTCCTCGATCTTTTCCTCTCGTCCCAATCCAAAATCCCCTCCGTTGTATATTTATACGGGATAAAGTTTAAACCTTTCGAAGAATCTGAAGATAAATATCGTTGCTTTTCGGTTCACGAGACGGAAGAAAAACCAAAATTTTATGCCCTTCCCTTTGAAATCTCAAGCTCATCTCAGTTTCCGACAGCCATGGCTACTTTGACGAAGCTTCAAGTATGCCCACGAATCTTGGAGCATCGTCTGAGTTCTAAAGACCAACAAAGAGTGGGAAATCTCCGGTACAGTCCGAGATTGAAACGTAGCAGGGTTTATGTGTGTCGCTGCGACAGTGAATCGGGGAAGAAAGAGAGGGAATCCGAGAAAGCGAAGGAAAACGAGGGAAAGTTGGCGACAAGGGAAAATGGGTTCTGGAATTCTGTGAAATCTGGGATCTTGGGTGTTAGAAAGTTAGGGTTTTCGTCCAGGGATGATTACAACGAAAAAGTTGCAAACTTGGAGAAGGTTTTCTCTTCGGTAAGACCCGAGATTTCTCCATTAGATACTTATATTTGGATCGTTTATATGAACTGTTCATGTTTGCGTATGAACCCTAATGCACTTTTATACCCATTTTTTTCCCCACAGATTGCAATTCAAATTGGCAGATACATTGTGACCATGACAAGCACTGGGGTGATACTCTTGATCGGTTTCCAATTGTCAGGTTAACGATCCGAGATCTGTAGAATTATCTTGAATGTTTTATTTATTTCCCCTTGCTCTATATTTTATGAACTCAAATGATTTGTAAATAAATCTTCATTCATGAAGGTGGGGATTCTCAGATGAACTCGTTGATTTGGTATAGCTGGCTCGGTGGTGTTATCATAGGAACCATGATAGGGGCCAACCTTGTTTTGGAGGATCATTACAGAGCCGGTCCGCGGAATGTCGTGATAACCGGGAGGTTCATATCGTATCCCGTCGGTTTTAATCACGTTTTCGTCGTTTCGTATATGCTTATTTGTACATGTTTTGTCGGGCATTCGGTTTTCAGTACGAGGGGATTAGGGAAAGCGCTGGCTCGGGAGTTCCTTCTGTCCGGAGACCGAGTGGTCGTGGCTTCTCGCAGGTTATATATCCCGAAACCGAGAATATGTACTCGTTTTCAAAAGTGTCGGATCAACTTTGTGACGGAAACTATCGTCTCGTGTTTTTGGTCTCAGTTCCGAGTCCGTTGGCTTGACGGTCAAAGAGCTCGAGGAGAATCTGAAAGAAGCTATGGTCAGTGCCAGTGAATCTTCTCTAAAGAAACTGGCTTATGCCAAGGTGGTGGGCATTGCCTGTGATGTTTGTGAGCCCGAGGACGTGAAAAAATTGTCGGACTTTGCTGTGAACGAGCTCGGTTCCGTCAATATATGGGTGAGTCGAGTCGTTATATCGTCGGACTCTTGCCATTTATGTCATGTCCTTACTCTCCTTGTTCTTGGGGCAGATTAACAACGCTGGCACGAATAAAGGGTTTAGACCATTGCTTCAGTTCACCGACAAAGACATCAGACAGGTAATGTTTTGGGAAATTTTCCGGCCTTGAACATAAACGATAACTAAAAGATACATTTTTTTTTATCGTAGATTGTCTCGACGAATCTGATTGGTTCGATTCTGTGCACTCGAGAGGCGGTGGACGTGATGAGCAGCCAGACCAATGGCGGGCATATTTTCAACATGGATGGCGCTGGTTCGGGTGGTTCTAGCACTCCTCTCACCGCTGTGTAAGATTTTTTTTCCCGCTTTTTTTTTTCTGATTCTCGACGGGTTTTTAAGCTTTCTGATCCATCGAGCATCTCGGGCTTTGCAGATACGGGTCGACGAAATGCGGGCTGAGGCAGTTCCACGGGTCCCTTTTAAAGGAATGTGAAAGAACAAAGGTCGGTTTGCACACCGCATCCCCTGGCATGGTTCTGACCGATCTTCTTCTGAGGTATTCTACGTGCATATATATATACGTGAATACAAAGTTCTTCGAGTCGTATATGTTACTAACGCAATCGGGTTTTGCAGTGGTTCGAGTATAAGGAACAAACAGATGTTCAACCTTATCTGTGAGCTTCCCGAAACCGTGGCGAGAACACTAGTTCCTAGAATGCGAGTAGTCAAAGGCTCGGGTCGAGCCGTTAATTACCTGACTCCTCCTCGGATATTGCTAGCTATCGTCACCGCGTGGCTTAGGAGAGGCCGATGGTTCGATGACCAAGTAAGTTACTATACGAGTATAAGGTATTATTGTCATTATATAAATAATTGAACCTAGGGTTATTGCATTTAGGGGGTGACCATTTAAGGTTTCAGTTCCAATTATATTTGGATTCGGTTATTTTGGCTTCAAAACAAATCTATAACGATTCTATTTGTATATTGATTTCGGTTTGGTTCGGTCCGCATTTGGTTTCTATCGATAAAAATACTTATTTTCAAAGAAATTTTCGGTTTTTACTTTTTTTTTTAAATTCGGTTTGGTTTGAATTTGATTTTTACAGGAAAATAACCATTCATTTTTTTTATATCGGAATGGGTTCGGATATGCATTATTATTCGGCCCACGATATATATTCTCCGACGTCAACTCGGGGTAGGGGTTCTGTTCTGACGCGAGAGATTTCCGCATTTGAATACGCAGGGACGGGCATTATACGCGGCGGAAGCGGATAGGCTTCGGAACTGGGCGGAGAACCGGACAAGATTCTCGTTCACGGACGCGATGGAGATGTACACCGAGAACACTTGGGTCTCCGTCTTCTCCCTCTCTGTCGTCTGCGCCTTCATCATCCTCTCCAGCACCACCGGAACCACTTTCCCCGGAACCTAATCCCCGCCGCCATTTCCGGTCTGACTCAATTGTACGGACGTAAATGAACATCATCATCATCATCATAATTTGTTTGCCATTGTTGATGTATCATCCCTCAGATCCTTTAGGTCATTCGTTTCTGTACAGACAAAAGTGGTTTTTTGTGGTTTCTTGTATGGATGGATAATCACAGACCCATATAATAGATTCGGTGAAAAAACACACACAAGGAATATGATATAATATATATATATATATGTATATATGTGTGTTTGTGTGTGGTATGGATATAAAAGTTCATTAGTGCTTGTACTTGTTTAATGGTTATATTCTAGATTGTATCTTTGTGACTTGTGAAAATATAATTGTTTTTTTTACGAAATAAATGAAATTAAGAAGGAAAAAAACATAATTTGTTTTAGACATTGGTTGGTTTTTTGGGTTTGTCCATGTACGTATGCATGTGGTATACGTATGTCTTTGTTCGTTTGTCTAAACGTGGTTCACACACGTAAACTATAAATATAATTTTTAAAATTAAATTAATCGAAAATACTTTTTTAAATACAAGTTTAAAATCGAATCCACTGAATTTTGATATAAAAGTTGTATGAATTCAACTGTTTTTTTAAATATTGAAATTTAAAATTTAAAATATTTGTTAGAAAATACAAAATGTCTATTAATAACGGATTTCGTTTGTTTTGTTTGGTAGGATATTATTTGTGGGGTTTATGAAAAAGAAAAAAATATATATGTTCTATTTTTACGTTTCTTTGTTTTTTCCCTACGTTGTCGTTATTTTAGTCAACCCTTCTTATTTGTAATTTCATGTATTTTGTGGTATTTTTGTTTGACCTATTTCTTAAAAAAAACATTTATTCTAATTTGGTTTCAAATGTCCATTTTTGGTATAAATAAGATTATTATTGGTCTAGTTATCATAAGATATGACTATTTTTATACACCGAATTTGCCAATGTTGACTAAAGAATTCCTTGGAAGTGGGATTTTGACTGTGAAATTTTAAAAATAAAAGTAGAAGAGAATATTTAGCGAATGTCATGCCATTAATCATCTGTAGAATATATATTTTTTAAAAAATAAAATTATCATAACGCTTCATGTGACTCTTACCTTCGTGGACCCACCATAATCATTTTATAAATTCTATATTATATATCGTTTTACCAACGATAAAATTTATTCAGCAACCACGTCCACGTTGTCTATTTTCCGACTTGGAATTATATATTGTTTCCGTGATTCAACAAGTTGAAAACCCTATTTGATCAAATTTAACACGCCAATTACGCCGCGTCGGTTGTCATATTATTATTATAAAGATTTGTACCTTCAACCGCCAAATAATTGATGTTCTTCTAATGATTAATGACCATATTATTTTATTTTCTTTTTTTTTTAAAATCGATTTCATAGATTAATTAAATATTAGTATATCAATCATAATAGTTAATGGCGTGAATTCGATGAAAATTAATTAGAGGAGATATCAATGTTAATAGGTGTTCTATTAATTTTCGGTGGTGTATTCCAGCTGGTTCATCATCTCCCGAGCAAGCAACCAGCTTCCATATTTCTTTTGTTATAATAAATAGAATTATCTTCTTTTTCTAAAAAAAATAATACAATATGTCAACTTAATCCAATACAATTCACGCATATACATTGAGTTGGATAAATATTTTGAATTTTCATTTCATTTTAATTCGAATATTTAAAAATGTTAACGTTAGAAAATTATTTATATATATATATGATTTTTATATTAATATAAATTACTATTTGTTTTCGTATTTAATTAAAAGTAGATTTTTAATTTTTAATTTTCTGTTTAAATTTAATTCAATTCTGATTAATTTAATTTTGAAAAAGTGATATATTATATATATATATATAACATTCAATTTTGATTACTTTAATTTTATAATAATTATGTCAAATCATGTTTTTAAATTGGAGTAGTTTTATTTAATATTATTCATTTTACTTTGATTTAGTTTTACTTATTTAAGTCAAAATATCCGCTCTATAACTGAAAATATTTCGATTATATACCAAATGATACATAATGATAATTTTCCAATTTGATTTAGATTTTATATTTATTAAATGGAAATATTAGTATTTCAATTTATTTTAAAATGAAAATTGCAATCCTTTAGACCATGGTAACCCCACGTATGCATTATATTATCTTAACAAAAAGGAAGTAAATATTTACAAGAACATTAGGAAACTATTTGTCATATGGCATGCTATTAATTTAAATACGCCCAAACTAATAAAAAATTTGATATATGATCTCAAAATAGAATACAATATTCTATAATATTGAATTTGAAAAAAATACTTATTTTTACATTTCAAAATATTTCTGCTTCAATGGTTTTTAAATTATTTGGCTAATTTATTATCTATGTTAATTTTTTAGATTATACCGAATCTGTACTTTCCATAAAGCATTTTTTTAATTTACAAAAATTTACGAGTATCTTATTTTTATTAAATTTATTATTGTTCATAGTTCTTCTAAAACGACAGATCGCCTTTCCCTTTTTTCTAATAAAGTAACATACCAATTTCTTCCCCCTTTCCTTAACCCCGATCTATATAAATTCATAACAAATTGCTCACATAAATATCTAAATAAATATATAAACTCTTTTATAAAATAAATAAATAAATAGATATTTGCTAAAAACACAATGTAAGTAGAAATATATATATACACACAAGATGACGCGGAGGAGTCGTGTGGACCCCACTCACATCCTAATCAGACTTCTAATAAGAATCTAACTGTCCTCACAGGAGCGCCAGATCGCTACGACGCTACCCCTTTTTCAATACTCTCTCTCTCCCTGCGTTTTTTCCGGCGAGAAAGATTCGTTTTTTTACTGATTAGATCGAGAGATAATGTCGTCCGCGCCGCCGCCGGACACTACTCCGGCGCCAGCTCCGCCCCAAAACTCCACATCTCCTCCGTCTCAACCCGTCACTCCTCCTCCTCCTCCCACCGTCACTCCCACTCCGTCGCCTGACAAAAACGCCACTGCGCCGCCGCCGCAACCGCCGATTTCTCCGCCTCCATCCTCTCCTTCTGGACCCCCGGATTCCTCTCCGCTGCCGCCCTCTCCACCTGGACCGCCGAATTCCTCTCCGCCGCCAGGTTCGCTTCCTGCTCCCGTTACTCCGTCTCCGCCGTCTCCGAACCCACCATCTCCGCCGGGGAATCGGAGCCCGCCGTCGAGGCCATCGGATGGGAGCTCTCCGCCTCATACGCCGTCTGGTCCGGGGCATTCTTCGCCGTCTCCGCCTTCGGGATCCGACGGGATTTCGATGGGGGTGGTGGTGGGGATTGCGATCGGTGGAGTCGTCGTGCTTGTCGTGCTGACTCTGTTGTTTCTCTGTTGTAAGAAGAAGCGTAGAAGAAGAGACGACGAAGCTGGTTACTACGTTCCGCCGCCACCTCCTAAAGGTGACAACTTTATCAGGAAAAAAAAAATGGATCTTTGGATGAATTAGGTTTTTTTCTGTGATTATCATCAGAAAAAAATTGGATCTTTGGATGAACCGTGTCTTTCTTTTTGCGATTATCTGGATTTATCATTGTTTGCATGTCTCTCACTTGGAATTAGATCTGTTCAGAAAGTGTTGTTCTTTTCAGAAGTTGGTCAAACTTGTTAGATATTATAATCGATCTGGTCTTATTGCATTCTTATATAAAAAGACATAAATTACGATGTTTCAGATTCAGACATGAACTTAGTTCTTGTCCTAATCCCTGCAATTCGTGTTCTTGCTTCTCTTCCAGATGGGCTTTACGGCCATCAGCAGCAGCAGTACTGGCAGCAACAGAACGTACCTCCGCCGTCTGATCACGTGGTGACGTCAGCACCGCCTAAACCTCTGACTCCTCCTCCTCCGCAATGGCCTCCTGCTCCTCCGTCTAACTCCTCCCCATATGCTGCCGCCGTTCCACAGCCATCGCATCCTCCTCCTCTCATGTACAGTAGTGGCGGGGGCCCCGGGAATTGTGTTGGGTTTCTCGAAGAGCACGTTCACCCACGAGGAACTAGCGAGAGCAACCGACGGATTCTCGGATGCGAATTTGCTCGGGCAAGGCGGGTTCGGGTACGTGCACAAGGGGGTGTTGCCTAACGGGAAAGAAGTGGCAGTGAAGCATTTGAAAGCCGGGAGTGGACAGGGAGAGAGGGAGTTTCAGGCAGAGGTCGAGATCATCAGTCGCGTTCATCACAAGCATTTGGTTTCTCTGGTCGGGTATTGCATCACGGGCAGTCAAAGAATGCTCGTCTATGAGTTTGTTCCCAACAACACATTGGAGTTTCACCTGCATGGTGCGAGAGACGAATCCTTTTGGATTTATGGATTTGATTTATGTGAATTTTTTTACTCGGAACAATGCTGATCTTGGGTTTTTCTTGATTTGTTTCTCGACAGGGAAGGGACGCCCGACAATGGATTGGAGCACGAGGTTGAAGATCGCTCTTGGATCTGCCAAAGGGCTATCTTATCTCCACGAAGATTGTAAGTACCAATATATATATATATATATATATTTGAATGTGTATATACCCGAAATGGTTGTTTGTTTAGATATGTGTTTCGATATCTTGGATTATTAACTAATGGGCGTTTTTATATGTTTTCAGGTAATCCTAAAATCATTCACCGTGATATTAAGGCGGCTAACATACTGTTAGATTTCAAATTCGAGGCAAAGGTATATAAGATAAAGCCTCGTTGCTTTATCGTGTTGTTTTTCGTTGTTGAATTTGTCCAATCAATCTTTATGACTTGGTTAATGTTTACCGGAGTTGTCGATACATTTCAGGTTGCTGATTTTGGTCTGGCGAAAATCGGTTCCGATACCAACACTCATGTGTCCACTCGTGTGATGGGAACCTTTGGGTAAAGATTCCATCTCGATATTCATATCTGTCTTGCTCGTGCTTAGATAGATACACATCTACATATTGCGGTTGTAAAGTGTTCTGGATCGTTATCATCATCGTTGATGATCTTGAAATTTTGGCGACTGGTTCAGTTATTTGGCTCCGGAATATGCTTCGAGCGGGAAACTCACAGAAAAGTCCGACGTTTTCTCCTTCGGAGTCGTGCTTTTGGAACTAATAACCGGGCGCCGCCCTGTTGACTCGAGCCATGCCTTCTTGGACGACAGCTTGGTCGACTGGGTGAGTCATATATCTTTCTTGCTCCTGATCCCGTTCCACTCTTAATGCGTTCCTGCTCGATTTTTGTTCGCTGACCAAGCTTATGGGTGTTTTCGTAAATTGAAAAAAGGCACGGCCTTTGCTTAGCCGAGCAAGCGAGGAAGGCAAGTTCGGTGGTTTGGCTGATTCGAATCTGAACAACGAGTACGACGAGGAGGAGATGGCTCGCATGGTGGCTTGTGCTGCAGCTTGTGTCCGCCACTCCGCTCGTCGTAGGCCCCGCATGAGCCAGGTTAAAACCCTAATCCGAACCTTTCATTCCATACCCTTCATTCTCGGCTGTCATCTCGATCAAATTCCGGCTAAACCTTCTCGGGTCAACGATGAGTTTCAAGATGCTACCTTTAAACCCGAAAAAAGAAGATCATCTTCTTGTTCTTGGCATCATTCTTGAGGTTATTACTGACGTATTCTTGTAAAACCGAGCAGATAGTGCGGGCATTGGAAGGGAACGTATCGTTGTCGGACCTGAACGAAGGGATGCGACCGGGTCACAGCTCGCTGTACAGCTCGTACGGGGGAAGTACGGACTACGACACGAGCCAATACAAAGAGGACATGAAGAAGTTCCGGAAGATGGCTCTCGGGACACAGGAGTACGGTGCGAGCGGAGAGTACAGTAACCCGACCAGCGACTACGGGCTTTACCCGTCGGGTTCGAGCAGCGAGGGCCAAACCTCTCGGGAAATGCAGATGGGAAAGATCAGGGGAACCGGTCATGGTTACACCGCTGGACCCTCTTAGCAAATTCAGACGAACACAAGAGAGAAAAAATTGCAGGTTTTTGATTTTTTTCCCTAACTGTAAAGATTTCAGACGATGCCCTTTATTCTAATTATCATCATTATTTATACATGTGAAGGTGATCTCTGTTTTTTTTCTCTCTCTCTTGCTTTCATCATACAGTTGTATTGTTATTGAGATCGAGGATTCTGAATCAATGTATTCTTTTATTCTTTTTGGTTTGAAGGGTTCTTGATCATGAAAAAACCAGTTTTTCTATTGTCATGTCCGAAGATGCACATGTACATGAATGGTTCCAACTGGTTGTAATGATTCTATTAACGAAAAAATCAATCTTTTTGGCCGTCCACCCACGTAATCAAACATCATTTTTCTTGAGCCAGTTTCACTAGCGCGAGAGATAATATGCTGATATAATCTCAAAGGTGAGATTTTTAAGGATTCTTCTCTCGCTGTTGCAATACACTGAATGTAAAAAGGTCGCACCTTTCGAGTTCTTCGATGGCGAGAGGCCTTGCTCTGTGCTCCAATGGAGGAAAAGCTTCGATTTTTATCTCCGGCTCCATCGCTAGGGTTTCTGTCTCCTTTTCTCGCGAGACCCTTTTCGCTTCGCAGCTCTTTCGTGGCCACTGTCTACGTTTCGCTCGTTTATTCTGCAAGTGCGTCTCCGTTACTGAGACAGTGGATGTCGCGAGGTTCAAGGAGGTTTTTGAGAGGAGGATGGCCATGGCGGGTCTGAAACCTCATCACCGCATTGGTAATTTTCTCTCTGGATTCATTTCCCTCTGGTTTTTTCTGTTTGGTTCCCGGGAAACACGAAAAGAGGGAAGAAGGGGAGAATTTACTCAATTGGAGGAAGAAAGACAACAGCCCCAATTCCAGCGCATTGCATTTTGAGATTTCAACGAGCAAAATCAAGCAAATTTTGATGCTTTTTTAGAGCGTTCTGTCTACGTTTTCATGAACTTAATGAATTAGTTCAAAGTGCTGCAACTGCTGAGATTTTTTCTCTTCTTCATTGTTTGTGTTTTTTTTCATTGTGCTGTGTCCAGCATTAGGTGTTTCGGGCGGTCCTGACAGTATGGCACTGTCTGTCCTGACCGCGAACTGGAAAACCGAAGGGCAGAACGGTGTTAACAAGACAGATGGCCTCATAGATGGACTTGTGGCTATAGTCGTGGATCATGGACTGAGACAGGAGAGCAAAGATGAGGCTGAAGCTGTGAGCTGCAGAGTTTCTGAAATGGGTAAATACCGCCACGAAGTACGAAAACTAATGTAGAATCTCGGGTTTATATGACATTTGATTTCGCCAAACGGGATTATAACACGGAAGCTCTTATTAGGAATCAGATGTGAGATTGCCTGTTGTGATTGGGTGGATGGTAGGCCGAAGCAGGGACACTTGCAAGAAGCAGCTCGTGAGATGAGGTTTACATTCGGCTTTTCTTTTCTATTTCATTACAATTACACAAAGATCATTGTTTCTGTGTTTTTTCTGCATCTGCTGTCTGAAATTTACAGGTATCAAATGCTTCTGAATGTCTGCCTCCGCGAAAACATCAGTGTCTTGCTTATAGCTCACCATGCAGATGATCAGGTAAAAGACACTTTTACGAGCATTGGTTGAGAAATTGTTTCAAGTGTCGAGAGGCATTGATGATATTCGTGAATGGTTTCTGAAGCTGAATGCATGCAGGCTGAGCTTTTCGTTCTAAGATTATCTCGCAATAGTGGAGTACTCGGGCTTGCTGGAATGGCATTTGCTTCTGAGATTTTCCCGTCGGAGATGCATTTAGACGAGACGAATGGCAAGAATCGTTCTGTTCTCTTAGTGCGTCCATTGATGGATTTCTTGAAAGAAGACATGTACAAGGTTTACATTCCCCCAAAAACGAGGTCTTTGAAGACAAATTGTTTTCAAAGTTTTTCTTTTTTTCGTTGTCATCAGCCTATTTGTTTACGGGCAGATTTGCAAATGGGGAAAACAGGATTGGGTCGAGGATCCGACCAATCGTAGCCAATTGTTTGCTCGGAATAGGATTCGGATGTCAATAAGCAATTTACAATCAGGCAAGTCCTTCAACCTTATGAACATAGAGTAGTAATCTAAGATTGTCTGTATCATATGATAACTAACTTCTCGTTTTTTATCAGTTACCTTCAGGTCTGAACTGCAAGCAGTTATCTCTGAATGTCGGAGAACGCGTTCGTTTGTTGATCGAGTTTGTTCCCGTTTAATAGATCAAACAGTAACAGTGACAGATGTAAGCATTTTTTTACGGTTTCCAAGTCCATATGAAACACTTTGGGCATATGAAGACGATATTCATCTTCGGGTTTTCTTGATTTTTCGTGGTTTTGATGTTGGAATGGCAGAAAGGGTATGCTATAATTGATCTGCAGAGACTGAATCCTTCAGAAATCAAGGACATTTGCGTATCAAAGTATATCGGCTTAGTCCTACAGGTAATTACATAATATTTTTTTAGGGTTTTTTTTGGTAGATTAATCACTGCCTCAAAGTTCTTGCCTTTGGAGTTTGGAGTATCTTCCTTACACTTTCTTTCTCATGAATCTTCAGTTTATCTCCCAAAAGCAGAGACCCATCAGAGGAAATACTTCAAAATTGCTTTTGAACTACCTCCGTACAGTTCCTTGCAGGGTAACTTCTATTGAATGTGTAGTATGCTCAATTTCTTGCTCTGCTATTCCCTCCAGATTCTTGATCCAGACAATGCTGATTTGTGTTCGGTTCTTCATATGATTTGTGATTGTTCAGACATCTCTCACGGCTGCGGGCTGTTACCTTTGTCCGGCTCCCGGGTCAAAGGGTACCAAAGTCATAGTTTCTTGTTCTGTTGATTGCCCCTTACCTACGAAGACACAGATATTGCAAATTCAGCCCGATAAAGCTCAGAGGGGAAATACTTCGGATGATGACCTTAGCCAAATTATATCAGAAGCGAAATCTTTTTCAGATCACTCGGTTCCCGATATGACTGAAACCCGGTTTCTGGATGTAGCATCGGAATCAGTTCTGAGCAAAGCCAGAGAGTTCAATCTTCTGAGTGACACGACCTGTGCCACCATCGGTTTACTGCAGAGAGATGAAAGCAACCGGTTCAAGTCAAAACCCGAAGAAAAAACAATGGAGGGTTCAGAGTCTTCAGACAAGGAAGCAGACGGCTTTGTGTCTGTTTCTGACAATGCATATCTTCAGGCAGGGAAAGCATGTTACTTGATGAACCGGTTTCTCATCAAGTGGAACCTGAGTAGTAACCAGAGAGAACCCATCTGCAAAAACTGTCCAGTCAGTGCAGACACAACAATGGTGGCTCGGTATATGGTTGAATCCGATTGGTTGCACCTCGGGGAACTGTCGAGATGTTCAGATACAGATTCAGATTCAGATTCATGTTCGGGTTTTCGTGTGTTATCTGCAGGCAGAGCCCTTGTGTCATTGAAGCTTATCCCAGCCGCTGCAAGAAGAAGCCTCCTGGTCTTGGTGGATCTAAACGGACTAATACTCAGTATTCCAGTAATGTTTGATGAATCTTTTCTATGTTTCCCATTAAACCCTAATGGAATTTCAGCATCTGTGAACTGTTTCTTGTTTCTGTTGGGTTTTTATTTTCAGGCGATTGGATTCAGATATTGTCAGTGCTTGGAGGCATCTGCAGTTTTCTTGCCAAGAGTACCGCTTGGGGGTGGCTTTAGTTCCTTTGTCTGAATTCATATTTCTTACGTACTTTTGTCAATTTTCAGACACTTCTGGATCGGTAGTTAATCATTTTTTGTATTTTCAGACGTAATATTTTACACTGATTTATTGATTTTCTAATTGGAAAAAATACACTTGGACATTCAGAATTTTTTTTTAAAAAATAATAATTATACTAACCTAAGGCCCAATAAAAGTATCTACATGTTATAAAGATGTCATTTTTTAGGAAAAAGCGTTAAAAAAAAATTAGATTTAAGACCTCTCTCAGGAAAAGATTGAATCTTCCGATAGCGGAGATGATGATGATAAGTCTTCACCTCCCGTCTCCTCCGCTGTCTCCGCAAATCTTTGATTCCAGCTCAAAATTTTTCAAAAACCCTAAACCCATTATCGTCCATCTTCTCCCGAATTCGAAAGCCCTGAAATTTCCCCGCAGCAATCCCATTTTCAACAACCCGGGAAGAATCCTTAACCGTGAAACCGAGTCACGGAGGCTGCGTTGTAACGGGGTCAAAGATTCCGGCGAGATTACGAAGTCGGCTCCGCCGGTGGACTCTGGTGGGGGTAGCGGTGGTGGAGGTGGAGACGGCGGAGGCGGAAATGGGGACGACGGCGAGGTGGAGGGGAGAAATGGGTTTTTGCCGGAGTGGCTGAATTTCTCGACGGATGATGCCAAAACCGTGATCGCGGCGGTGGCAATATCGCTGGCTTTTCGGTCTTTTATTGCAGAACCAAGATACATTCCTTCCTTGTCCATGTATCCTACGTTTGATGTCGGAGACAGAATTGTTGCAGAAAAGGTAGCGCCTTTTCTTCCTCTTCTTTGATTCTGTCTGATTGTTGATGAACAACTTGGAACGTTACAGATTGAGATTCGTCAGTTCCTAACCTTGTGTTGATGAAATCTACTTCTGGATTTTCAGAGTTTGTTGACTTAATGGCTAGAAATGCTTGCCAATAGGTTGTTCTTGGTGGAGAATTTTGCTACTAGAACTCTGAGATGTGTCTATAGTTTGTTCTTGTCCTGCTATCATTTTCTAATCCATTCATTGCTTGTTGAGAATTTGTTTCTGATCCGAGATTTTCAGATCACTTATCGTTTCAGGAAGCCATGTGCGAATGATATCGTAATCTTCAAAAGTCCGCCGGTTCTTCAGGAAGTAGGGTATACCGATGAGGACGTGTTCATTAAACGGATTATTGCGAAAGAAGGCGATATTGTTGAGGTAAGATCACATCTAATGATCAAAGAGATCAGCTCTTCTTCTTTCTTTCGGGAACATAAAAGTTTTGGTTATGAAATGGTTCATAGAAAGCTTCCTGCAAGAACAGAACCTACCGATATCGTCACTGAAACACTGGAAAACTACGAGTTCTTGATCTGTGTTTCCGGAATATGCAGGTGCATGATGGGAAACTTATGGTCAATGGCGTTGTTCGGAGTGAAAACTTTGTCTTAGAGCCTCCTGGTTATGAAATGACATCCATTGTAAGTTACCGTATTTTCGTCATCCAAGTGTGAAAAATCAGAAAACCTGTTATTGTTTCATGAACTAGGGGCTCTTGGGTCTTGCAGCGTGTGCCGGAAAATTCGGTCTTTGTGATGGGTGACAACCGGAATAACAGCTATGATTCACACGTGTGGTGAGACCCGTTTCATTTCTTGCCATTTCTTGGTATATTACGAGGAAAGCTAACTTCGTTCTGATTCTTGAAACTCGTGTACATCTTCAGGGGTCCTCTCCCGGCGAAGAATATCATTGGACGTTCAGTTTTCCGGTACTGGCCCCCGAATAGAATAGGTGGGACCGTGCTTGAAACCGGCTGTGCTGTCGATGAAAAGCAGGAGAGCGTTGCAACATCTTGAAATGGACGGAGAGATTTTAGGATCTAGAGGTCTTATTGTGCATAAAGCAAAGAAAAAACGATGGGAAAAAACCGATTTTTTTTTTCCTCAAATGAAAAGCATTAGAATTGAATTGAAATGGAATGGAGAAAAAGAGAGAGAGACAGATCAATTGGCGTTGTTCTTATTTGCAGATTGAAGAGTGTTTACTTGATAACATGTCTACATGTCTTGTCAGTGAATTGGATGAGTTTGCTGTTCCTGGAAGAGATGTAGAAGGAGCAGGAGAGGTGATTCCGATGCTTTGACCTGACAAGTTTTCCGATAATGTTCCCACATGTTTGGATCTCAAGCTCCAACTTCACCGGAACTCTCCCCTTCCTGTCCGAAGCAGCCAAGTACGGTCCTGCTCCGTACAGAGGAACCTTGACGGCCGTAAGCTCCACCATGGCCATGTGCTTGCTCTTTCTTGGTTGGTAATAGCTCTTCAGCTTCAGAAGCATTGCACAAAAAAGGATCCAGAACCCGGAAAATAAAAAAGAAAAGTTTGGTTTTTTATTACAACCCATGTTTTATTGCATCTGAGATCAATATAATTTGAAGAGTTGAGAACAGAAGAAATCGTTCCGGGTACCTGACCAGTGGCGAGAGTGAAGTCATAGAAGATGAGCTTGAGGGGAGAGGAGCTGACATGGATGCCGAAGAAAGAAGCTGGATTCTCTACTGTCATATTTACAGAGCTCTTCATGCTCAGAATGTTTGTGGGAACTCCTGTCCTGTCTAAACCACCTCCCAGCTCGAAACCGTGAACCTTCAAACTCTACAGGAAAACCCGAAAACACATAACCGGTAAGAGATAGATATCGGTGACAGTGGCTGTTGCTAGAGATGTCTGTCAGGAAAGATTGTTGGCTCGGATCTTATCTTGAATACCCGAGGGTGTGGATACCGAATCCGTGGGTATCCATCCATCCATCCGTCCATCCCGTGATGCTTAAAATTTGAGAATTCGAGTACGCGGGTTTGTTGAGTTTCATTGGCCAATTACTCGTATAGACGGGTAACTCGATCCGAGGGGAAGAGGGGGCGTGATAGAGAGGGCGAGGCTGTCATTAGGGTTTCTTTTAAAAACAATCACACAGAGTATCTAACTCTCCGAGACCCATATTAGGGTTTCGACTTTATCTTCTAGAAACGTCAAGTGATTTCGCCTTGCCACGGCTCTTTCTCGAGTTAGGTATGCCTCGATCCCTCTCGTCTCGACCCATCTCACCTCATCGTATGGATACTGTATTGACATTCGAACTCTCACCAGAAACCTTCGAGGGCATAATACTCCGAAAAGTTCGGAAACCCGATTTGCGCTCAACCCTAACCAGACAGAATTCAGGGAACAGATATGGGCATTACCTTGACGATGACAACAGGAATGAAAGGTTTGCTAGCTCCCCAGACGATCGAACAGAAAACAGTGAAGATCAATGCAACAGCAACCATGAACAGAAGAACTCTGCATTTCCATGTCGAAATCCATCCCTTGTCTCCATACAGATCCTCGTACCGACCACCTCCCACCTCGTGGAACACATGTCCCTCCGGCCGGGGCGGGGGCGGGGGCGGCGGCCACATTCCTCTCCGACCTTTCCACCGGAATCCTCCGCTGCTGCTGGAGGAGGACAGACGGGAAAATGGGCCGTACGAATAAGACTCGGACGGCGAGTCGTAGATCGGAGTGGCGGTGGCCTGAGTCAGCGCCGTCGTGGATGACTCGTCGTCGTCCACGTCGTGCGAGTCACGTGACGAAGGGCTTTGGACGTAATACGCCATGGGTTTCGGCGAAGGTGATGATGATGATGATGATGAGAGGTCGAAGCTCATCATGTCGGATTCTGATCCTGTGTCCATCATCATCTTCTTCTTCTTCTTCGCTTCTGTGGTTCTGTCCTGAAATTCGTCCTTCTGTTTCTTCTCCAAAAGTAATCCATTAAAGAAAAAGATATAAAAAACTGTCTTCTCTAATGTTACGAAGAATCGTTAGCTGAGTGAGAAGTGTTCTTCCAAGTCTTTCTCCTTAAATCGCTCTACTATTGGTTCATTTCTAAATTGACATTTGGCTTCGTCCTCTGTTGCCACGTGGCAGTTTTGCAGAATCTTCAATTAAGATATTTTTTTTGGATTGGAAAAAAAAAGTTTATACACGTTTACACGTATTCTCGTTGAACTTTACGAGGTTGGTGACATAGGAGGAGATGAAGAAGAAGCAAGAGATGGATTTCCGGTATTTCGACTTGACCATGCTCCCGACAACGTTCCCACGAGATCGGAACTCGAACTCCAACGTCACGGGAACTCCGCCATTCTTATCTGAAGCAGCTAAGTAAGCTCCTGCTCCATATAAAGGAATCTTTGATCCTAAGAGCTCCACCATAGCCATATGCTTGCTCTTTCTTGGTTGATAGTAACTCTTCATCTTCAAAAAAAAAAGATTCAGAAAAGGTTACAGACCGGATTGAAATCGTGTCGGAAATGAGACAAGAGGCAAGTGAACGGTTCGAAAGAAAGAGTACTGCTACCTGGCCAGTGGCAAGGACGAAGTGATCGGAGTAGATGAGTTTGAAGGTGGAGAAGCTGACGTGGATTCCGAAGAACGTAGCGGGATTTCGTATCGTCATCTTCAAAGAACTGTTCATGTTGAGAATCTTGGTCGGGACTCCTGTCTTGTCTGAACCTTCCCCGTAATAGAAACTGTTCACTTTCAAACTCTGCAACGGAACACACACAAAATTCTCGAAATTGTATGTATGTATGTATGTATGTATGTATGTATGTATGTATGTATGTATGTATGTATGTATGTATGTATGTATGTATGTATGTATGTATGTATGTATGTATGTATGTATGTGTTTTCTGCCTTACCTTGACGTCGACGATAGGAGAAAAAGGTCGAGCAGCTGCCAAGAGAGACAGACAGAGGACCAAGAACGCAAACGCAAACGCAAACGCTCCCAAAAGAATCCTACATGTCCCAGTAGATATGCCTCTGTTAACCTCGTACTCATCATCACCTTCCTCCTCTATCACGTGCCTCTCCGACCACCGTCCTCTCCGACCCTTCCACCGGAAACCTCCTCCGCTGCCGGAGACGCGGCTCGCCGACGACTGGTGCGACGGCGAGTCCGTGGGCGTAGTACCCGTCAGCGCCACCGTGGAAGACTTGTCGCCGTCGTCTTGGGAGTCACGTGACGGGCTTTGGACGTAGTAAACGGTGCGTTTTGGGGATCTTGGCGACGAGAGGTCGAGGCTTGTCATGTCGGATTCAGAGGTTGCGTTCGCCATTGTTCTCTGTTTCTACGTGGTTTTCAGCTTTTGGTATGACGAAGAAGAAGAAGAAGGTCGATGATGATGGCTGCATGGAGGAAGAGAGGGAGATGGTAACATGCGTAGGCTCGGGGATGGCGAAGGGAGCCATGTGTAATGGCGTTCGGTTTCAGTTACGTTTGTAAAGAGTGAATCCAAAGCTTAAAGCCTTTTTTTTTTTAACTGTTTTACCAAAAAAAAGTCTTTTTTAACTGAAGTCCCTCACTCAACACGATGTATAAGTTCATGGGATCGAGTTATTAATCTTGAATCTTAGTTGATTCCGTCTCCAACACCAAATAAAAACCGAAATTTGATATTAACACATATATTTTATATATAAAGATGGATAATTCAAAATTTGATTCGATACATTAACAAAAATTGTATTAACTAAATTCTCGAACCAAACACTCACAGTCACCCCCCGCGTTCTCATATGCTTGGTTTTAATTTTTTTATTTAATCCTATGAGAAAATTGATTAACCAATGTAAAAAAATAAAATGGAAAAATAAAATAAGACAAATAAAAATGAATGAAATTATTTTTATTACTACATCTCTTCTTCTTCTTGTTGCATTACAATGAAAATGACTCACATATTTATAGAAAAATCGATACATAATATTTGATATAATATTATATCCATTATTATTTCTAATCCTATCTTAAAATCAATATTTCCTTCCATCAATGCATTAATCATTTAAGGCCGAAATATCTATAATTTTCATATTTAATAGATTTTACAGCAATTTATTTAAAGCCCAGATGAAGAAGAAGGGAGACGTCAAGAATTCTAGTGAATATCAATGTGGTTAGCAAGAGAGACGGTATATGTATTATGTGAATATGTGTGATAATAAATTTAGACCGCTGATAGTTTTTATTTTAAATTTTTTGCTTTAGTTTTTGATTTTTAATTTTGATAACTTTGATTAATAAAAAAATAGAACTGTTTGACAAAAAAAAAATAGAACTTTAAATTTTTTAGTTAACTATTTCACTTAATTAATTTTCCAAAAAAAATTAAAAATTTAATTTAGAAAAATCTTGATTATCAATTTTTTCAAAATTGTCTTTTGAATTGATAAAAGAAAATGGGTCATAGATTCTCCACTTCTGGGTTCATTAACTATTGGACCATTCATTGTGGATGAAACCCTTGTAATAGATTTCCGAGGGACTTATAAAATTAATCAGAATATGATTAAAATTTAAAAAAAAAAATTGGAGGGTCATCAGTTAGGAGCGAAAGACATAATAATGAAATGATTAATCACGGTGATTTATCATTTGAACTATGCTGTTTAATCATCATTTGACCCTTTTTAATCCAACATTTTTAATAACAAATCTCATTTAACTAATGGATTTTTTTAAAAACAAAATCGCCATAAAGAGTAGGCCTCATGGAGAAGATTAGGCTTATCAACAAGGATTGGTTCAGACATATGCTTGTCTTTTGATTAATCGATTTAATCATCGGCCAATAATGAGAAAAAAACTTTTTTTAACAATCCGGGAAAAAAAATTTGGATTGAAATGATTTATAAAAGAAAAAAAATTGGAAGAATGGACTCAGAATATGGGTGGTGATATAACAGGATGGTCGGCAAACAGGCCTTAAATTCGGCCGATTTTACGACGAACGAGACCTTTCACTGATTTCATCGTCACCGTCCATTTTCCCTAGAAAAATCTGAAACTTTCCCGGAAAATCTGCAAGCGGAAGCCAAAGTTGCAAACTTTCCAGGAAAATAGATCGACCCATGAGACAGAGAAGACGGAGATATCAAAAACGATTCGGTGGAGAAGATGAACCCTAGCCAGAGTACCAACCTAGGTCTCTGTCTCGTGCCCTTTTATACACACGAGAATATTTTTGGGAGCTAGGGTTCTTGAGAGCCTTTTCAGCTAAGATTTCGACACGTGTACTCCCCTTGCATCGGACGGTAGAAGCTTTTCCTTGAAAATGTTTTCTAGCGTGGACGTTTGGATTTTTTATTCTTCCCAATTGAACCGGAAATCTCGGTTTAAAATTTTCGAATGTTATATTTGTTATAAAATCGAATTTTTTTAAACCAAACCGAACTAAACTTTATAAAATTTCCAAAAACCCAATTTTTTTAAAAAAAATATAAATTTTTTAACAAAAACCGAAACCGAATCGAATAATATATATTAATGATTTGATATAAATTTTAGAATAACGAATAAACCGTTAAACACCCATCCGTTTTCTAGATTTTTATTATACACATACATACATATATATACACACAATACACATAAATATTGCATTTTCGGCTAATTATGGATGGAAACAAAAATCTATATTTTACATTCTAGACACGAACTATGTTACAAAGCCGGGGGACAAAACACACTTCCATCGTCTGACAGCTAAACTCGGAAGATCAAACTGGAAGAAAATTTATATTTCAAAACAGACAACTGAAAATCAAAATGAAGCAAGGACACAAAAAAGAGAAGAGATTCCATTTCTATGAATCTGAAGATTCTGCAGAAGCTTGACTTTGATCAGTTTCTTTCCACTCTGCTTCTACTTCTATCTGGCGCTGCTCTCATATCAAGCGTCGACAGGATCTGCGGCATCGACATTCCTCCCGACACAACGATCTCTGCACATATACAAACATCATCAACATCGTTTTAACCCCAAGTTTATTTGGGATCGGCGGTAAGAATTCTTCGTTTCCACTCACTCACGATTTGAAGTTAAATCTTCCGAAATTTGCAACAATTTCAAACCGTTCCAACCCCTTTCTTTTCTCTTAACCTCCTATGTTTTTCACTTTTCTGACCGGAACATCTACCGGCTTACGTTATATCAGTCTGAGTTTTTACATAATCATGGAAAAGGCGTTTTCAATGAAGTATTTTTCGAGTTTTGAATGCAGTTATATCGGTCTGTTTCTTGTTTTTCACATCCATATCATCATCTCCAAGATTTTGATTCTTGAAACAGAAATAATTGCAGGAATGGTTCAATGGATAGGATCCTCACCGATTCCTTCCCGGACAGAGAGGTTTGGCCTGATGACATCCTTTGTATTGACAAGGAATATATCCCCAATGTAGAGGTGGTTCGTGGGAACATATACACAGCAAAGTTCCTCCTCGGCTGCATAATTCTGCAAAGGAAGATTATTTCAAGTTATATCGGAAATCGGGTTTCGAGGAAAAAAGGTTCCGGCACACTTATTTGCATAAAAAAATGCATCTTTGAGTTCCTTATGGTGCAGTTTCCATAGATGAACCGAGCCAAATGCCCTTTCCTGACCTGGAGAACAACGGTCGATGTGATAAACCCGATGGCGTATTCACCGATACGTGGATGCCTTATAATGGCGACTTCCTTGAATGCCTGTGTATTTTGATCTGGACATGTATGGTGAATTGGAACTCGGGTATGAGAGCAATGATCAAGAGTATCAAATTATGATGATATATATACACATAGTGAACGAGACCTGGCGATATGGCAGTGCTGATTTGCTTGGAGGCGTTATAAATGTGGCGAACAAATGGCATCCGCTTGATAAACCACTCTCCGAGGCTTAGAACCGAAGCCCCGAGCCACGAAGACATGAACACCCCGACCAAGAAGATGAATGTGATGGACGTGATAAAGCCAAGACCTAGAAAGCACAATAGAAAAACCAAAGTTACCAAAAGTTGTCCTGCATTGTCTTTCAACCATAGCACAGATACACCAACTGAGAATGTTTCCTCGAAAGATTAGAGATTGAATCTGCATGTGGGGAAGGAGAAATCAGATAGAAATGGAAGGAAAACAGGAAAAGCTTACCGAAAATCTCGATTCCTAGTTGGGCATATATCGGAGAGAAAAATCCATCCACGAAATGAATGAACCACCAAGTCACATAGAAAGTGATTGCCATTGGAAGCAGGATAACACTGCGGAGAGAGACTTAGAAGTCAGAATCTACTGCCCGAGACGAGATTCAAATTTTCGAACTATAAGATCAAGAAGAATGAAGAGATTTACCATCCAGTCATGAATTTCTTCGATGCCCAGCTTCTAATTAACTTGTAAAAGGTCTGCACATAAGATAAAATCATCAAAAACACATTGCAAAACACATATAGCTTCGATTCCGAAACATAAACCCAAGGCTAGAAACAAGCCAAACACAAGAATTTGACATGATAATTAGATTTGCGTGTTAACCCTATGGCTCAAATCCAACAATTCCATTGAACCATTTCAAAAAACTTCATGGGTCTTCAAGTAATCTACTGTAGTCGGTTAGTGTACAAGCAAAGATAGATCCTTGTTGCCAAAATCCCTGGTCAGATCGAATTAGCCGAGGAAAGCTAGGGCAAACAAAGTTCGAATTTGTGAAGCAAATGGCCGAAATTTGCAACCATCAGTTAACCCAAAAATCCAGCAATTGGCCAAGTGTCGAGGGATTCAGAGATAAACCCAACATATATCAATCGAAATCTTAGCCCAAATTCTCATCGAATTGCGAAACCACGAACGAATAGCTCTTAGGAGGAACGTCGAAACAAAAGGGCGTCCAACATTTTTTGCATATAACGAGAAATTTAAAAATAGGAAAATGAAAGCTCGAGGATTCACAATTAGATAATAACAAGATTAAAAAAACAATTAAACCAACCAGAGGGCTTCGCCGCAGCGCCGTCGACACTTTCTCCGGAATTAGCCACCGGAATCAGAAGCTCAAGATCTCTATCTCTGTTTGCCATCGCGATCGCCGGTTTCGCGTCGCCCATCCAAAGCCTCTCCAATGAAAATCGAAGCCCTTGAACTAATCAGAAAAAAAACGAAGAAGAAGAAGGGGAAGAACCGAAATCGAAGGAAATGTCGCCGATCAAGGAGTCAAAAGCTTCAATGGAGGAGAAGATCCCCCCAAAGCTGACTCTTCTCGGCGGCCGGAGAGAGAGAGAGAGTCTTTTTCCAGACTGTTTCGGTGACTTTGTTATTTTTCGAGGAAAATATTTAAATTTAAATATGTTTCAATGGGGGTGACGTCTCATTTGGTTCTGCAACAATAATTTAATTATTTTTTTTTTAAATTGACTGACCAATTGATTATTGAAATGTATAATAAAATTAATTTTAAATATAATGCAAATGGAACATAACCCAATAATAGATAATATAAAAAACAATGATCATAATTTTGTGTAAAAAAAACTAAAAAAAATAATCAAATCAAAACATATTTAGCATCCTACAAATATTTTTAAAAAAAAGGACAGAAGAAAGAGAACAAATCTATCAATCCTTTTGTGTTCCATTTTATTGTATTATTATTGGACAACTCCAACTCCAACAATTATGATCATTGAATCTCATTACGTTATGTATGTATATATATATATATATATGTGTGTATGGATGGATGGATGGAAACTGTAGTATAATTATTTATTAGGTTATATAATATATACTGATATGAAAATGGAAATAAGGTCGGACGGTCCAAAAACAGTAACAAATCATCTTGTGATGGATTGGCTGTAACTTATTCATAAGTTCCTTATAGCGCGTATTTGAAAGGTGATATTTTCTTACTGTTACTACAGTTAATATTTTGATATTATCAAAATCGCTAAATCACGTTATGAACCTTAGACGTTCAAGTTGTTTTCCGGATAATTTGAAGGAGAAACCTTGAACTATCCCATTTGGGGTGACCGAGTGGTCGTAACTCTGGTCGTGGAGTGTGGTTGGGGTGTCACCTATTTCGGAGATTCTGTATATATCTGAGCACTGCGTGGGGGAGCAGGGTGCAATTTGTACCGAAAGACTCTTTCCGGATCTAGGAAATTAGTTAATTAGGGCGATGCCATTGTCTAAATATCATCAAGAGCTGATGAAGACATACACTTAATATGATACCGGCCGTCTTAATTAAAAAAAAGTTTTTCAGAAACAAATCTCTTAAAAGAGTGGTTTCACCAGTAAAATTTCGTTCAACACCTTAAATTTGGATAATTCTACCGGTAAACCATAATGTATAACGGTCCCATCCTTAGTTCGAACCCTCGAGTTTGGGAAAGAACATTTACATGAACTTTTTATGTCTCTCTAACATTAGTCTAGAGATTTTTGTCCATAATATTCGATTATCTAAAAAAATTCTGTTCAACAGGAGGGATGCAACTCATAAGAAAAGGATTCCGGCAAAGAAGGCATGCGAGACCAAGAGACTAAATTTGAGAATTTTTTTCGGCTTTGCGATGGTGATACAGATTAAGATTATACATATGAACATCACATTTATTTGATAAAAAGATTAACAAAACTCACAACATATCCAAAATCATAGACCGTAAACAGTGTCTCCGACCAAAAGTACTACCGCACAAAAGAGGTGTCTGCGGGCAAAAAGCCTTCAACTTCCAGAAAGATATATGTCCCCAAAAAGAATTTTTTGTATCTCCTTGGGATCGAGTCGTTAATGGAAGCCATGGGAGGAGTCCGAGGTTCTGAGAAGTTACAGCAAAACGTTTTTCAGGACAAAAACTATACCTTAGTGACAGTGTTCACATCATGTTGGAAACGAGGATCGATCTAAAGGGTGTGAAAGATGGAGATATTGCGAGTGGAATCTGGGATTTGGGTTTCGGATTTTCTGATACTCGACTGAGGCAGAGAAATTCTATCTTGATCTTAGCAAATATTAGAGATCAAGATATTATAATTATCAAACTCGTAAAATGTGTCATTATAATTATCAAACTAATTTGTGTATTGACGTCGTCAATGTTTTTTGTTTTCTGTGATACCAATTAACAAGTTTAAAAATTATACTAGCACATTTTATAAGTTTTGTAAATAATTTATCAAATGAAAAGTTTAGAAATTATTTTTTTTATGGATTTTTCTCTTTTTCTATATATGTAACTCTGATGATAAAAAAGTTTGGAATAATGCAGTGTATGCACGCTGATTTCATGTTGTAATGAGAAATAATGATGATTAGTGCAGTAATGGTCTCAAACCCATTAGAGAATGATTGGTTAGAATATGGAATTTTAGGATTCTAAATAATAATAATAATAATCTATCTTATATTATCAACATTATTATTAATAATATTAAATGGGTGGAGGGTGGACTTGAGAAAAAGGGAAGGCAGTGCGGAAATCTCTCCCTAACTTGTGCAAAGCATCCAACCGCCCATTTTGTCTTTTATTTATTTATATATTTTCCACTTTGTTATAATGGACATTTTGCATCATATATCCACATATAGTCTTCCCTAAACCTAATCATATCTATACATGATCTTGCTTCTCTTTTAAGATACGATTTGTTTCTTCTTTTTTTTCCCCGAAACTAAATTAAATTTGGAGCATTATTAGTATAATTTGGTTTATATCCCACAACAAATTTAATTTCTCTTCATTTTTATATATAGATATGCTCGGCTTCAAAATTATACCCACCGATTAGGGAAAAAAAATCCAAATGAAATGACAACAAACTCAATTAGAGTCGATTTGTCCCCCCCCCCCCCCCCACATTACCATGCTAAGATATCAACATAATTTTGTGTTCTTTAATTATAGAATTGACACGTGGACTTGATTTGTATACGGTAGGACAAAATTATGTATACTATATAAAGATATAGTTTTTCAACATTTTTTGTTGTAGAATAAAATAACAAGGAGGGATTTTGGTATATAAAAAAAATAATGCATATATAAAGAAATCTTAAAAACCCAATATTTCTCTCTCTATATATATGATAAGTGCATAGTAATTAGGCCATAATCAAATTAAAGGGAAAAAGATTAACTAGTAGAGCACTAATTCAAGACAAAAGCCATGGCCGTGAAGTTCGTCTCCTTCTCCCTCGTCGTGTGCATCGCTATTCTCCTGATTCCTGCAGGTATTCTTCTAACACTTAAAAACCCGATTTTCTTATACTTGATTTGCCCTAATCAAGATTCATATCTTTCCACGTATATGTCAGAAATATATATATGCAAATCAATGGCAACCGTTATATATATACATATATACAAATCATTTCATAATCTCTTCTTTTTCGATTTATACCCATATGAAATCTTTTAGTTCGTTAACAAAAAAAAAAAACTTTTAGTTTCTATATGCAAACTAAACTAAGATCGAACTTTTCAAGTTATAACTAGGTTACATCAACACAAATTAGCATATAGTTTCCTTTTTTTCATCGAGAGATAATAGATTGGAAGCGGATACTCGAGACCGCGGGTTTTCGGATATTTTGTCTAGTGGATACATGGTCACCTATGACCCCGATGACGAGTGCGACATGGCTAACTAAGAACTCGATCCACGGGTTCAAATTTCGAGTTTTTTCAAACCCCGAAAAGATTATAGATACGCGGCCGCGGGTATCTATATTTGAATAAAATTAGGGTTATATGCTTTACTATTTCAACGTGTTTAATATCTAGATTTATTTTATGTAAATTTACAAATATACCATTAAAAATCAACGAGATTTCTAAAATTTTAATGGATTTGGATATTCATGATACCCGAATCTCGCGAGACCAAGATTGAAACATTGAATTCAAAAAACCGGTTAGGATGAAACATAGTCCGGGTACCCAAAAAATCCGGATACCAATCCCGGGTCGACCCCTATCCATAAACATTATATATCTAATATCTCTAAGTCATGTATATGTATGGATAATCTCCGTTTTCATCATTCACAAGGGAAAATCTCGGCGGCGGCGGCGGCGGGCAGTGGTCGGACCGGGAAGAGTGATCCAAAGGAATGGCTATACGTAGCGGGGGAATGTGCAAAGTTAAGACATTGTAACAAGTATTGTCTCTCCACTGGTTTCCCTTTGGGTGGGTTTTGTAAGAAATTAAGCCCTCAAGCCTCTTCCCTTTCTTGCGTTTGCAAATACACCTAATTGTCCTCTATTAGTTGAAGGACACAAAAAATCGTGTATGGGGAATTAATAATATATAATAGTAACGCATAGTTCATTTTTTTCCGTATTCTAAGAAACTCTACTTTTGATTTTAGTATCCAATTTATATTTAGTTAATTTGTTTACAAACATATTATTAAAATAACTGAAAATAGATTATAGCTCGAATTTAAATATTATTCGGTATCTATAAATGTTGAAAGTAGGATATCGACTGCTAAATCGGTGATATATATTTTTATATTGAAAACCCTTTTATTCCAATCTTCTTCTCTTCTACAAAATTCGTTAGAAAGAAGATAATTCCAATATATAAAAAAATATAAAATAAATTGTTTAAAAACATAAAATGTACAAGAAAATACGGGAGAGAGAAAAAAAGAAGCGCGGGCCTGGGATAATGGTCCCACAATTACAGCTGTAAAAATAGCAAAAACCACCCAAGGAGCCGAGTCAAACTTGCCACGTGTCATCATCACAATCATCTAACCTCTATACATTCTTAACACTCGCATTAGTAATTAATGACAAATTAACCACGTGATTAGCCACTAAC